TCAAAATTAAAGTTTCTCTTGTGATTTCATGACACTTCCCTACTATTGTACTCCTGAATCCTGTGAAGGGTGCATCCATTTTGAGAGGGGGATTACAATTTCTCCCACAGATTTATAAACTGCTCTGGGTGCATACATTTTGGGGACCACTATGTAGTTGATTCTACAGAGAGATTTGGTCTTGGTTGCCATTTCTTAAAAGAAGCACAGATCCTCTTGTCAGTGGCTTCTGCTATCGCGGCAGTCATTAATTGTGGCCAGTAGATCCAGTATTGAGTAAATGCATCTCCTGATCCACCTAGCACAGTGGATCATTGTGCATGAGTATGGACAATGTGGCCATACTGTAGCCCCACTCCAGAGAAGCAAGGGAAATTGTAGAACATCACTACAAACCTTCCAGCATTGTAGTGATCCCTACAACAAACATATCTTGCAGTCTAAACACACAATCAGCAGTCCTATTCCACTTAGTTCAGAGTAAGCCCCATTGAATACAGTGGATGTAGTGCCGAGGAAGCAGTGATGAAGTGCCAGTTTTGTGGATCCCATCATTTTGTGGATTATTTTCTTCCCAACCGTAGAGAAGGTGACATGGCAAAGTTAGATTACAGAGAGGTGTTGCTAAGAGTGAAAGCAGCAAGGGGGGAAGTTGGGGGGGGGGCACTACGCCTTTTCACAGTTCATTTACTAAATTGGGTATTATAAAAATAGTTGGTGTGACTGGGAGGATGTGTTAATCTCAGGGGCTTTACCATTTCCCCGTAATGACTGCTTTATATTGGGTACATGGTAAACTGTTTTATGGTGCAAGTGGGAAATTTATCCACATACATATGTTAAGGGCTGTTTGGAATGTTCTCACGTAGCTGAGCAAAGAGTGCCTTGCCGAGAGGCTAGATGCACCCAAAGCCTAGTTGTCATTTGTACTTCCCACATAAATGCCACCCAGCTAGAAGCAGCTTTTACAGCTCTGAAGGAAGGGAAAGAAATGACAGCTACTTAGCTCAAATAAATTAAGCTTTGAGTGTTTATCTCTTTAGTTGCACCATATGTATCGGAACAAGCAAAAAGTTTATCGTAATGTAACAATTTGCCTATCCATGGTTAGCACTTAATGGATAATTCAATACAGGATTTAAAACTCTTCCCATGGACTACCAATTGTTCATGGCAACATAGCAGAAATACAACAAATTACTCCCTATCTGTACAAAGAAAGCATAATCGTGACTATCTGGAGCCAAAGGAAAGAAAGAAATATGCTAGTTGCCTTTCTGTTGTTTTATATTGATCCAGAACTGAATTCACAATAGTGGTATTGCAGGTACAGTTGAAGATAGCACTAACATGAATGCAGTGCAGATTAACTTCATTGATTATTTGCTCATCTGCAAAAAGATCATGCCTCTTTCATTGCACTTGTGTTTTCTATATTATCCTTTGTATAAAGATGAGGTCTCAGCCCACATGTTCAAGCTAGAGTTTCTAGTTGTTTCTCTGCAATAAACGATAGGTATAAAATTTTGAATCAGGCCAGCCAAACAATTAAATCACTGGGTTGCTGTGAGCGTTCCGAGCTGGTATGGCCATGTTCCAGTAGCATTTTCTCCTGACATTTCACCCACATCTATAGTAGGCATCTTCAGAGGTGAGGTCTGTTGGAAACTAAGCAAGTGAGGTTTATATATCTGTGGAATATGTCCAGGATGGGAGAAAGAACTCTTGTCTGTTTGAGGCAGGTGTGAATGTTACAACTGACCACCTTGATTAGCATTTAATGGCTTTGCAGCTTCAAAGCTTGGCTGCTTCCTGCCTGGGGAAATCCTTTGCTGGGTAATGTTAGCTGGCCCCGATTGATTCCTGTCTGAAATTCCCCTGTTTTTCTGAGTGTTGCTCTTTATTTGCAGTCCTGATTTTAGAGGGTTTTTTTTTAAAAAAATCATGGTTTCTTCCTTTCTGTTGAAATTGTCCACATGCTTGTGGATTTCAATGGCTTCACTGTGCAGTCTGGCATGGTGGTTGTTAGAGTGGTTCAGCATTTCTGTGTTCTCAAATAATATGCTGTGTCCAAGTTGGGTCATCAGGTGCTCTGCTATGGCTGACTTCTCTGGTTGAAGTAGTCTGCAGTGCCTTTCATGTTCCTTGATTCGTGTTTCGGCAATGCTACATTTGGTGGTCCCTATGTAGACTTGTCCACAGCTGCATGGTATATGGTAGACTCCTGCAGAAATGAGAAGATTTTTTTTAGTGAGTCTGTAGAAAGTTTGTAGGTTGTGTTTCTTCATCAGCTTCCCTATGCAGTCAGTGGTTTCCTATGAGAGGAATACTTTTCCTCTGGGTGGATCTTGGTCTTTACTCTTGCGGCATGTTCTTGGACTTGCAGCTCTTCTGATGTTTGTGGTGGAGAGAATCCAAACATGAATCAAGGAACATGCAACCCAGTGAAAGCCTTTAACAACAAATTAAATCAATGCAGATTGTTACCTAACTTTCCAAACATAAAACACAGGCCATGAAAGCCTTTAACAACAAATTAAATCAATGCATTAAAATAAGCTGACCCAGATGGGGGTGGGAAAGAGAAGTTGCGTGTGGGGGTGGGTGGGATTTGAGGGAAACTAATTGATCTATATTGACGTACCAACCGAACATGCAACTTAGTTACAAAAACTGTAAATAGTCATCTATATTGATTTATAGAATGTTAAGGTTTGTATTGTAATTCATTGTTATCTGCATGATTTTCAGAAATAAAAGCATTAAAAGAAAAAACAACAATGTTTCAGTTGGTATCAAATCCCAAACTTTATTAAATGAGAATGCTTTTCAAGCAATGGCTTTCCTCCGCCTCCCCAATCACTGTCAATATTATACGTTTTCAACGGGCAAGAGTTATGATTTGCATCTTTCTTGATCTTATTGCATTCTATTTCACTCCCACAATTGTATAAATATGCTTTATTTCTAGTACCTTAATACCACTTAATGCTGCAACTGAGGATTGCAACATATCCTTCTAATTATAGATATATCAAACGGTACAGGTTAGCTCTTTGATCTGAGAAAGGTACAAAAATGTGATATCAAGACATGTATGATTACAAAATATAGTGTGGACATATTGTACTTATGCAGAATTATGTCCTATACGTACTTGCTTGGACATCTGTCACATTGAACTCATAGAGTGTCCAAAGCCTCAGGATATAGTCTACATCTCTTAATTTGTCTTCATTCCAAGGATGCAACCATACAACTACTGCTCTTTCAGTAGTTATTTTTAAATCATAGAGGAGAAATTCAAGCTGTAAAACTGAAGACATTCTCAGCTACCATGATGAGCAGCATCATTCCCCCATTTGTCTGTAAGTTGTTGCTCCTGCCCACTTGCCATTAACTGTTACCACAATGCTGTGAAGAGCAACAAGAGGCTCCCCTCCGAGTTGATGTTAGTGTCACTCTATCACGAGCTAGCAGGAGGTGGTACCACACCAATTTGGTCAACAGCCATTCTCTAGGACATAAGACTTATCAATCTTGTTTCTGACATTTTTGGGTCTACAGGGGGTTGGGTGAGAGGTAGAAAAAGAGAGCCCAGAATCCTGGAAGGAATAGGGAAACCCCTTCACATTTGCAGTAAATAGCACCATGATCTTGTTTTGGGAAAGAGATTAACTTTCTGCCCGTTGAGCATTTCTGTCTCTGGTAACCTGTGTTTTATGTTTGGAAAGTTAGGTAACAATCTTAGCATCCTTGAGTCCCAGACTGGGAAGAAAACACACATACACACAATCTTGTTGGACCCTTAGGTATCTCATTCCCAAATAAGCTCCCAGCACAACCAGATGAATGCATATTCCACCCACTTTGCTCTTATTTTATGCATTTTGATTCACAAATATTCAAGGATGCCTAGAAAGGAGAATCAACACCTGAGGTGAATGGGCAGAATTTGTCTTCCTATCCCTGGCCCTAGGAATACAAGTTAGGTTTTTCTATTCCCTGCTCCTTACCCCCTTCTTTTTCTACCTCTCTCAACCAATCATTACAGTGAAGTGGCTTGTTTTTATTGCCCTGGAACAGCAAGTTCAATAAAACTGAACTATTCTGTGTCTGCCTCTTCTCTTGATAGGATCAGTTGTTTAGACCTTAGCTTGAAAAGCAAGTAAGCTGGTCCTTCATCTGACCCTCTCATATCAGCTACTTGGATCTACTTATTATCACAAAGTTTCCTTCAGGATTCAGGTGACCAAGATTATTTCTTGATTAGTACTTAGGATATAGTTGCTACTAAAGGAGTGCACTTATGGGTTTCCCCAGAGAGCACTGCTGCTAACTGTTGCATAGGAATGAGATTTCCAATTTGGCTTCTTCACCCAAATAGGAAACTGAGATCACAAGAGAACTCAAATCAGTATTTTGAACCCAGAGGCTGCTGTTTGAGTGAATGATGTAATCTAAAATGCAGAAGGCTTTCATTGGTTATTTCCACCTAAAGCGGACCCACTAAATCATTTTTTCAATGGTGAGTTAACATATTTAGACACAACCCATTGATTTAATTGGTCTGCTCCAACTGGAATTAATTCCAACTGGAATTAATAACACAGTTCTTTTTTTAAAAAAAACCAACTTCATGTGGCGGTTTTTAGGCCTGTTCCTGGGGTTATTTTGGGTGCCAATTCAGAAAATTGCATTGGAAGAACCACAACAGCTCCAGACCGATATATGGCATATGTTCTGCATATAAAAAACTAGAGCTGATAGGGGGGAAACTAGTGTCATTTTTGGAATCAGGTAAAATAAACCCAGAAACAAGTCTAACATTTGAGGCACCAAAATGTGTGTTAACCAGTGAAATAGGATTCACAACATGGCCACTAGATCCAAACCTTGTGACGGTTCCTTAGCATTTAAGTGTCATAATAGAGACAGTATTGAACGATGTTTAAGTTCTTCCTGTTATAGTGCAACAATGAGAGAAAACATCTAGAAAGGAATTTTCTGCTGTTCTTTATTGAAATATATGCTCTTACAGAGCGTGTAGGAAGGAACATTTTATTTAGAAATAAAGTTGGTAGATGGCATGGTTGTTCTATGTTAAAGAAAACAAGAATTCTTAGTAGACAAGTGCCAAGAAAGCAGTAAGCCATGCTATTATCTCCTTAGAAAAACAGTCATTTTAGGTGATTGGAAAGCAGATTGAATTTTCCACTGATATTACTCCATGAGAATAGAACTCAACAGAGGAACTGTTGCAAAGATCTACCTATTTTGGTATCCTTCCCTTTCCAATGGTTAAGTAGATGCCTTCAGAATATTCACAGACCAGATATAAAGCCCCTGCCTTGTCCAACCAAGTAATCTTGTGCAACATACTGATTCTAAACAGGGATATTTCATTTTGTGATCACAGTTGGTTGCTGTTGGACCTGTTCTTCATAAGTATGTCAAATTTCCTTTTAAATCTCACATTTGGTTTTTGAATCTCAAAACATAGAATTTCCATTACCATCACTGAACAACATCTCTAACTCTTTTGACATATGGGTTCAAAAGCAGGTGACAAGTCTGGAAAAACCAAAACAAGGATCTGGTTCCAATTGCTAGTCCCAAGTAGCAAAAAACAAACAAACAAACAAACATAACCCACACTTTTGAATCAACTGCTGAATCAGTTACTGAATCAGGTAAATCAGTACCTACAGAAATCCTACTGAGGTAATGGGTCTGGTCATCAAACTTCAAAGCTTCTTTAAATCTTTGTTGATCATTAATGAGTTACAACTAATAGTTCTTTAATAATTTAAACATCAAGTTCAAATGCTGCTACTTAAGTCTGCATACTTCACAACATCCTGCTTCTCTGCTTACAACAGATTTTGAACTATTACTTATTGCATATTAACATTTGTTAAAAATCAAGAGACAATAGCAAAAACATGTTTTTTCATTGTTTTTAGAGAATTTTAACACTGTCTTCTTTAAGGCTCCTCCACAATCACAGCATGCCGCATTTTGGGTGTGTTGGGATTATGTTCAATTAACCAATCAGCCAGCCAAATCTGTTTGGGGGAAAAGGATATGGAAATGAAACCAATTATCACTAAAATAATTTCCACACAAAGATAAACACTTCTATGAAGAGACTTTTAAACTATGCATTCTTGCCTACAAAAGTTCACTAGGAATGAATTCCCCTTAATAATTTCACATTCCTCAACTGATGTTACAAAGGGAACTTTCCTTAAATTCCTAAACTCTGCTTCTAATGATTCACACCTTTGCTTTTGAAACTCTAGAGTTGTCTGAGTGGTTGATCAAGAAGGAGGCAGTCAGTCTAGACTGCTTTTAACATACAAAGGAAAACTGATTATCGGTACTCTGGCCTGATACAACCAAACTAGATATGTAAATAAGCAACTACTGCTTTTATCAACTGTTAGTTTTTCCTTTGGATTTTCATCCTTGATATAAAAAAAAAGAATATTATTGTGCCTTTACTGTATTTTGATGAGGGGGCTACTGCTCCAAAACAGTAAAAAGCTTTCTGTTCCTATTTCACATTTATATTAGGGTTCTACCACTACCACTGTATGCTGAGAGTCATTGTACAGTGTGCTTTGAAAGCTGGACTGATGTATTTTGTGCCCTTTGATTGGCCTAGTAAAAGCAACACTGTGATATGCATTTTGGATTTTGTTGTTTACTGAGGTTGTTGTTATAATTTTATGTGACTTGTTTTATACTTATGTACTGTTTTTACCCATTGTAATGGGTTAAACCCTTGTGCCAGCAGGACTGAAGATCGACAGGTCGGAGGTTCAAATCCAGGAAGAGCGCAGATGAGCTTTCTCTGTCAGCTTCAACTCTCCATGCGGGGACATGAGCGAAGCCTCCCACAAGGATGGTAAAACATCCGGGCATTGCAGATGGGCAATTCTATCACACCAGAAGCGACTTGCAGTTTCTCAAGTCACTCCTGACACAAACAAAACAAAACAAACTTGTTGCATGTTATATATGTGCCTTTGTAAGCTGGAGTGCCTTTGTAAGCTGACCCGTGTCCTTTTGGGGAGATGGTGGTGGGTTATAAAAAAAAGTTTACTATTATTATTTATTATTCCCACTTTTCGTGGCTATTGGTTGTTTGTTGCTTGGTTTATGCTTTATGATGTCTTGCATTTTATCAATTTTATTGTTTTAATATAATTGACTGTTTTATGTTTTTAACTGTGTTACTTTGTAACCTTTGTTTATATTGGGCTTAGTCCCCATGTAAGCTGTCCTGAGTCCCTTTGGGGAGATGAAAGCGGGATATAAGAATAAAGTTGTTGTTATTATATGTTGGCAGTCATAGGGATACTCACAAAAGGATCTGCTGGCTTCTTCTTACACAGTTCTGTAAGTCCTTTCAGCAGGGTAGGAGTGACATAAAGGTTCAGGTAATCCTTAGCAGCTTGCCCAACAGGAATTGGTTCAATGATGACTGTAATAAACACAGTAAATAATTTAATTTAAAAGTATCAATAGGAAAAAAGTGCCAAAATTTGCCCCCCCCCTTAATAACTGATAACACTGAAATTTCAAATTACATTCACAATATGAACTAATGTACAAACCAAGAAAAAAGTATAAAGATCCCAGTGTTATTTAAAATTAATTTTATAGCATTTATTGCCTCAAGAAGGAAGTTATACCATATATTGCAAATCTTGGGTGTTTACCTACTGGAATAACCATACGTTTAAAAAGAATCACTTGGGTTCATATGCCTACCACAGATACAGAGCAGACCTATTGGAACTGAGAATGGTCTGAATTATAAATATCGTTAAAGACTGCTACTAATTGTTGAAATGATGAAATTACACATATGCTCCCAGCTGAAAACATGAAGAGCTACATATTTAGAGAAAACCGGTAATTTTATGCACCCCATTTCCATCTTACTTTCTGTTTTCATCTGCAAATGAATGTGACTCTTCCAGTGCCATGTTCAGCCTAAGAGCTTAGTAGGATAATAACCCACATGTGGATTTATGGCATCGTAGTGCAATCTTATGCATAACTATTCAAAAGAAAGTACTACATTTAAATGGACACTATATGTAACACTGCGGTCTTGCAACACAATCTTGGATGTGTCTGTTCCAAAGCTTGCAACTTTATTTATTCTTGTCAGCTGTTTTGAGAATCCAGTGGGATTGCTTAAGCAGAATATATAATATAAATGTCTAAATAAAAATGAAAGATCACACCAAAATAAATCTTCTTGTTGCTATTCTCCTCAAGTAAATTTTAACATATGGCAAACCTCTAGATGAGAAACCTCCAAAGAACCTCAGTCATCAAGTAGCTGTTCAGGTCTTGCAAATTCAGGGCTACAGGTTCCTTAACTGGATCAATTCACCTGTCGTACAGCCTGTTTTTCTACTGTCTTCCACTTTACCAAACATTATAGTTTTTTCACATCATCTGCTGATACGTTTCAAGTATGACAACCTCAGTTTAGCCATCTTGGTTTGTAGAGACAGTTCAGATTTAATTTGTTATTTTAGTAGTCCATGGTATCTATAGAACTCTTTTCTAACATCCCATATTTCAAATGTGTTGATTTTCTTCTCATCAACCTTTCTTACAACTTTCACAACTATCAAAAATACTACGGCAGGGTGATTCTGACTTCTGTATTTATTTATCTTTACGCTGGAAGACCTTATCTAGTTCCTTCAAGAAAACTAGTTCCTTCAAGGAATCTTATGTACACCTTTCCAAGTCTTATTATTCTTCTAATTTCTTGACTACAGTCTCTATTTTGATTAACATCTGGGTCAAGGCATAGAAATGCCTATGCACTTTAAAGTTGTGTAACATACCTGTGGTCATTATTTTAAATATTCTACTCTATCCCTGCTTTTGCACTTTCTTAACTTTCCTCACCAGTTGTTCAAAGTCTTTGCTATTTTCTACAAAAATATGATAAAACACAGCCTTATCTGACCCTTTTCAAACAGAAAACTATTGTGTTTCTCCATACTGCAGCCAAACCATTGCATCCTGTCCAGAGACTTGATTATAACGGCTATGTGAAACATCCATTTCTTTATGAGCAAGCTATAATTTCTCAAAGGCTTTGCTATAGACCAGTGTTTCTCGAACTGTGCTCCTCCAGATGTTTTGGACTTCAGCTCCCAGAAACCCCAGCCAGCTTGCCAGCTGTTAGGAATGGTTGGATCCGAAATCCAAAACATCTGGAAGAGCACAGTTTGAGAAACTCTGCTGTAGACTAAAGCACAAGTTGATTTTCACCTTGAATTCTAGATGAGCTCAATGAGGTAACATATGGTTGCAATATGATCCCTAGTACCTGTTCTGAATCCAGCTTGAATATCTGAAATTCCTTGTTCCATATATTGTAAAGTTTTTGGTATAAAGTAATATTACGTTATTTTCATGAACAAGCGGTTCAGAGATCCTTTGAGCTGACTTTGAATTAAAGAAACGTTGTTAAGGACTCTAACGTTTCTAAAGGTGACCTTGTTTTAAAAAATCTAACATTGACTTTAAGTGCCATGAGGGAAACATGTAATAAATTGCTTTTTCATCCTACCTGAGAACTGACATTTTTTGTACTGAAGCAAATTCAAGATAATAATATATACCTTCAGGAAACATGAATCGGATTTCCCTCTCTGCTGCAGCAAAGTTGGCACTGCCATGAAGTCCATTCCTCAGATCATCTGTCCCATAGATTGCTCTTAAACTAAAATGATAGAAATGGGTTGGGATGTTTATAATCTCATGTGTTTACTGAAATAAGCCCCATTATACATCCATGAAGTTAGGAACGACAATCACTGATACAATGGCAAGCATATTAGTTCAGTCTTGTTTGGGGGCAAGTTGTACAAAATAACTTTGTCTACTAAAGGGAAAAAGTATATCTAACAATTCTTGATAAAATGGGCAACACAAAGTGTATCATCCCATTCCTCTTACATTCCCAGAACCCCCCCCCCCCACCTTTCTACACAAATTAACTAATAGGGGATTTCTACCTGGCAGAAATATAAAAACATTACAGTGTGCTCTTACTGTTTAGGCAACTGCTTAAGCGGACACTGGCCTTATGTTCTTTAGAAAACTAAGTACATCTTTAAATCTGAATATCAGAAAAGATTGACTGATGACATCCAACACTGCACGATTACATTTCTGCAAGTATTTTGTCAAATAAAGGTTGCAAGATTGAGATAATAATTTCCATTAGCTTCACTGGAGAAAGGAAAAAAGTGTTTTAAGTACTGAGAAATTTACCTGTCAGGATATCTTTCCCTAGCTACTAAGCTACTTGAAGGTCCAAGCAGGTCCTTCCAATAGGAGATAGCTTGATGCCGAGCGAGAACCATTGCAATTAAAGGCCCAGAACTCATATAAGACGTTAAGTTTGGAAAAAACATTTTCCCATATTGTTCCACATAGAAGTTGCTGCACTGCTCTGGACTTAATTGGAGCTTCCGTTTCTATTAGAGAGAGAAACACACAGAGAGAAATAATCTCTTAAAACTCCTGCGCCAAGACTGTCAATTGCTGCCACTTACATTAACACATTACAGAAGCATTGTAGATTTTTTCTCAACACACTCTCCAATGCTAATTCAACACATGCTACAACATTAACTTTATTTTAAAAAAAACTTCAAGACTCTGCTTGTTGAGAAAGTTTTAGTTTGGCTTTGAAAATAAAAATCAAAAAGAGTTGTTTTTTCACTTTGTTCTAAAGTTTAGTCTCTCTTTCATGTTAATTTCAAGGGTGTGTCTATGGTGATTTGTTAAGATGAGCCATTACTTCTGGTTAAGCCAACTGGGACTATTTTAGACTAATTCCATCTCTGCTTAACCATGATCCTATCTTCAACCTTCTGCCCCCTTCCTAAAGATTGTTGAGCAAAATGTGCCCTCTAGCTTCAGGCACAGACCTTATTGCATGCTTCCCACCCTTGGTAGTCACAGAGGTCAAAATGGCAGGTGGGAAATTTGTGATTACACTTTCTATGTGTCTCTTTCTTCTCCCTGCCTCTTCTTGTGCATCTGTCTTGGGGATGCAGTAAAGAAGAAACAGTGGGAAGCTTTCAGCAACATCAGTTTCCTTGAGCAATCTGCATCCCTTACTATACTGTTACTAGTTTTGATGAAAGAATACAGAGACTGTACTTGAGACCTTGATCAATGATCTCCAACTAAATACAGAAAATTACAGTTTAATCCAATTAGGGCAGGTTATGTGACCAGCAGCCTCAAACTCAATTTCAAAAGTCCTCAGTTCAGACCTTTGGTATCAGTCCTCTTTCCTCTCCAGCAATTTGCAAGTGGGGAACTAGGGGTTAGAAACAGAAAAGGGGTGATACTTCTAGTTCTGGCTGTATATTCAGCTCCTGTTAGTCTTACTACAGGTATATAATCCTGACATGCTAATGGGACACAACTGAAAGCTATGAGGCTATTACTGTAATTTTGCCTTTTTCAGGCACTGAAGAACTGTATCACATGGATAATTTATTACATGAGGTTAATTTCATCCAGCTGAACTTTAATGCAACTACTTCAGCACAAACAAGGCGTTTGGAGAAACAGAGCCCGACAATGCCATTATTTGGCAACCATATGAAATCAGATGAAAATCTATAACAGTGGGTATGCTGAAAGCATTATTTTAGAAAGCCATGGTCTAGCCAATAAATAAAAAGGATAAATTAGTTTTTCGAAATATTTACATCTTCATGTCAACACACAAATTCATGGCAATTAGAATATACAGAATAAAATTTCCACTAATTATGTTTTAATTAACTGGAACCTCTGGTCCTTAAAGCAATGGCCTAGTAAGTTTATAATATGGCATTCTTCTTGTTAGTACTTTTACAGCTGGAATTTTATTAGGGGAGCCAAAATGGCACAAAAATATCCACACAGTTCCCATAATCAGTCAGACATTAAAAGAAACAGGTGGGGAAAACCATGTTATTTGCACATTGTATAAGAGGCTATGACAAGAAGGATTGGCTGATTATTATATTAGGTTCATCAGGTTGCACTCTTTGCCTGACAAGGAGACCTGTAACACCCTTCCCCGCCTTTACAGTGTTTTCTTGTGCCTTTGTCATTAGCTTAATGAAAATATTACCTGTATTACAAAATGGATTTGAGAATTTGTTTAGGGAAAAAAACTCATCAATTTTCCAAAGTAAGAACTATACAATAGCAGCATCTAGTGGTCAGTTTTTGGAACTTGTTCATTGCTACAATATTTCCAGAACGATTTACCTGATCTGGGTATACGTGGATATTTTTATAATGGGTTGCTGTGAAGTTTTCCGGGTTGTATGACCAGATTCCAGAAGCATTCTCTCTTCTGGAAGCCCAAAAAACTCACAGCAACCCAATGATTCTGACCTTAATAACACATTTTTATAATGGTTTGTGGAAGATGGCATTTAACAAATTCAAACTGATGACCTATCAGCTTTGAATTTCAATACTTCCTGGTAGATAAGTTAGTTTTAGAGCTTGGAAATAACCGTGTTACTTGTAATAATTCATTTTAATAATAACAATGGCATAACTATACATTACAACTGGCAGAGTGTAAATTCTTCTGTAGTGTAAATACATTACCTAATTCCTTTTACAAAAATTAAACTATGGGTGGAATAATGTTGCTAGACTGCAGCTCCTCGCATTCACCATCATTGGCTATGCTCACTGGAGCTTTTGGGAGTTCCACTCCAAAATTGGAGTGGGGCACACAATCTTCCCATTCAGACAATCAAAGTTCAAGTCATCACTCTCCATGAAACTCACCAGGTGATCTTGTAACTACCATTCTCTCACACCATGACCTACCTCACATGGGTGTTGTGAAGGGGTAGTGGGGATGCGAAGAGCCATGTAAGCCACCCTGAGTAAACTGGAGGGAAGGTGGAATAAAAATGTAATACATACACAATAATTGCTACAGGTGTATGTCTTCACTGAATGGTGGGAGAATACCACATGGTTTAAGCTGAGGACTCATGCTGTGCTTTGTGCTGCTGTGAACCAACCAGTTACTAAAAACCAATGTCACACTATTGGTCCCTGTTGAAAAATGGAAAATTAAAGAGTTATCTTTTTTAAGTGTGTTTTTTTTAAAAAAAAACTAACAGTTTGGGCATGGGTTTACATTAAAATAAAAATAATTTGTGTGCTTCAAGGCTATAAATGTAACTAAGGATTTCTAAAATGTAATGTATCACTCCATGCTCTGATTACTTTTAGCTGAACTAAAGAAAACTATGTACAACATTGTTTAAAATACGAATCCAATTTCTAATGGTGAATTGTGTGTGAGCTGTTTTGCTCCCAGATCACTTATGACTAACAGCAACCCTAATATGAACCCATCGCAGGGCTTATGATTGTTTTCATCTGAGGCTGAATGTAACCCAGTAGGTCTCCACATCTGAGCTGGGATTCCAATATTGGTCTTCTGGAGTCTCAGTGCAACATTCAAGCCACTATACTATCTTGGCATTTCCAAATTGGATTGCTTCTAGAAACAGCTTCACAATCTATTTTCTTTATATGCAATTACATTTCATTTCTCCTTTTCTTTTTCTACATTATTATGATGCATAGTTTGCTTAGATTTAAAATACCTGCATAAAATAGAAAATAAATGCATGAGTATTTTTGCAGTAACTAGACAAAACCTAAAAACAATGAAACCATGCAATCAGTTTCATGGGAGCAGTACTGTATTTTCTGGGGTTTTTTAACCACCATTGGAATATTTCTGGATTATGAAAGAAAAATAAATCTCTCTACCCTAAATGCAAATGCAGTAACTAGATGTTCAAATGCATTTCATGCTTGAAGAACACCACCTTCTACAATCCCACATCAGCTTTTTAGCATTCCTACAACACTTTTCATGGGGAATATGAAAGGTATTCACTGTGAGTCTATCTGAAAACATGGCAAACATATTATAAGTCTTGCTTCGGTGTGCCAGTAACTGAATAATAGAATCATAGAATCATAGAGTTGGAAAAGACCTTGTGCGCCATCCAATCCAGCCCCCTGCCAAGAAGCAGGAAAACTGCATTCAAAGCATCCCCGACAGATGGCCATCCATGTTTAAAAGCCTCCAAAGAAGGAGCCTCCACCACACTCTGGAGCAGAGAGTTCCACTGCTGAACAGCTCTCACAGTCAGGAAGTTCTTCCTAATGTTCAGGTGGAATCTCCGTTTCTGTGGTTTGAAGCCATTGTTCCGTGTCCTAGTCTCCAAGACAGCAGAAAACAAGCTTGCTCTATCCTCCCTATGACTTCCCCTTACATATTATACATGGCCACCATGTCTCCTCTCCGCCTTCTCTTCTAAAGGCTAAACATGCCCGGCTCTTTAAGCTGCTCCTCATAGGGCTTGTTCTCCAGACCCTTGATCATTTTAGTCGCCCTCCTCTGGACACATTCCAGCTTGTCAATATCTCCCTTAAACCGAAAGAAAGTAACTGTTATGCTGAAGTATAACAGCCATTTTATTTTCTAATTTAAACCATATTTCAATTTGTAGTTATTTTTGCAAAACTTTACTTTTTTAGGTTACCTGAGTAATGGTGAATCCCGATCTGAGAATGATATCTTCTATTTCTACTTCTTTGCTGATGATATCTGGCTTAATGATTGCTAGAGTTCTTTCAACATAGATTTGAGGTTCAGGCATCAACATCTGCATTTTTGCAGTTAAGATTCAAGCCGTCTTCTTTCACTGAAATGATATATTCGTTGAGCCCATTGTTTTTACTCTTATAAGGAAAGTGGATAAATGGAAACCTGAGGCTTTCAGGGTAATTCTCACCCATTCTGTCTAAACACACAACCTTATCCCATGTACCGTTACTCTAAATAAGTTTTCCTGGAACTGCTGAGTTGACAGACACACAGGAAGGCAGCATCCCTGAGTTCCAATAAAAATATCATGGCTTGAAGAAACCAACCTAACCCAGTCACCAGCTACAGGGACCGAGCTTTCCGTATAAATGCCGGACAGAATTATGAAAATGAATAACTACTGTTTGGGTTTCCCTTTTCCCCTCCTCCTTCCATCTCCTTTCTTCTTGTAGCTTTTCTTTTATGCTACTAGCCTTGAGCAGGGACGGTATTTCCTAAAATGCCACTCTGGTAGCCTTTTTGGGAAAAGAGAAAAATTGTCAACCAAATTGTTTCATTCAGATATAAATCCCAGTAATTTAAACGTGATAACAATCTTTTAGTATCCCTTGCCTATGAAAACCCTATGAAATTCATGGAGTCTACATGTCACTTGAAGGCATAATCATGTTTACAGTCACATAACCCTCCTAGGGTAATCTAGACACGCCCTATATCCCAGGATCTGATCCCAGGTTTTCTGCTTTAAATATGAGTCTGCACTGCCAGATAATCTGAGATAAACAGAAAACCTGGAATCAGATCCTGGGATATAGAGCCTAAAGAAGTATTTTTTTGAGATGGCTGTAGCTCTGATAATTCTGGCTTTAAGAGTTGGATAATAGGTAGAAACTGGCAGATGCTCCCTGCTATTGTCTAGAAAAAAGGTTGCCCGTTGACTTCTGCCTTTTTTTACTCATGGTTTTTACTCAGCAAGCTCTATTTCTCAAAGTATTATTATTATTATTATTATTATTATTATTACTAATTCATTTTTATTCCACTTTTGTCCCATGAGTGGAATTTAAAGTGGCATATAATGATTTATAAAACAGAAATAAACACAATACATATTCAACTAAAACATCATAAATCAATTAAAGCAAATAACCCAATTGGCCTACACCATATATAAGAAATAAATAACTTACAACAAATACCATTTTAAAAAATCCCCAACCTCAGGCCACTGAGTTTATTTGTGAAAAAGGTTACACAAGATCCTAAGAAACTCCACACAACTAGCACACTAAAGCTGGCTCTCCATATAAACAGATTCTGCATCCATACATTCGACTATCCATGGCTTGAACATACCCCCCCCCCCCTCCGCAAACATAAATTACAAAAGGCAGACCTTGATTTTGCCATTTTATATACAGGATATAAGATCTAACCAGTCCATACTCTGGGAAATAATGCCCAGCTGCTCACTGGAGGGAAGGATATTAGAGGCAAAGAAGAAGTACTTTGGCCACATCATGAGAAGACAGGAAAGCTTGGAGAAGACAATGATGCTGGGGAAAATGGAAGGAAAAAGGAAGAAGGGCCGACCAAGGGCCAGATGGATGGTTGGTACCCTTGAAGTGACTGGCTTGACCTTGAAGGAGCTGGGGGTGGTGACGGCTGACAGGGAGCTCTGGTGTGGGCTGGTCCATGAGGTCACAAAGAGTTGGAAGCGACTGAATGAATAAACAACAACAACAAATATAAGGGACTCTATGTCACCATGTCATTGTGTACAGTGGGACGAGCATCCACGGATGCTGGTATCTACTGAGAGCTACTGGAACCAAAGTCCAGCTGACGAGGAGACCCACTGTAAGTGATGATGGAGCAAGGACTACTGGTATTCCACTTTACCTGCTATGGCGCCACCTTGAGGCATCCTAAGGCTTGTTGTTTAGTGAGGCCCAAGGTCCCTTCCTCCCTCCCTCCCTAAAGTGCACATTTTGGGATTTCAAAGGATGTTGCCATGGCAGTTAAAGTGGAATAATAGTGAAATGTGACAGGGCTCCCAGTTAACATTAGATACATCTCCACTTTACACTTAATGTAGTTTGACGCCCCTTTAACGGCCATGGCTCGATGTTAAGGAATCCCGGAAGATGTAGTTCGGTGGAGGTACCAGCAGAAGGCTCAAGACCTTGTAGAACTACAACTCCCAGGATTCCACAGCACTGAGCCAAGGCAGTTGAAGTGGTGTCAGACTGCATTAATCCTACAGTGTGGATGCACCCACAGTGTACCTTGAATTAAAATCCCCCGAAGTAAACGTTTACCTCACTCCCTGGCCCCTTGAAACCCCTCTGCCGCCCTTCCCGGGATCATTGTCATTTCTTCCGTTGCCCTTTGCAGTCGCCAAAGAGAAAACCCTTCCGCGCTTGCACCTGGGGCCTGATGAACAGAGCACAGGAATTCGCCCCGCATACCTGCTAAATTAGGCCTCTCGCCCCAGATGCGGTTGCCAGGCAACCAAAGAAACTGCAGCCCAAGCCAGCGGCTACGGCAGCCGGCGAGGGTCCATTTTGAAATGCGCGGTCGCTCTTTTGTCATTCAGTATGCATTCTGCGAGCTTCGAGGCTTGATGGTCGGGAGCAGATAGCGACCTCCCTTCCCTATAACTCATGCAGTTAGGTCCTGATATGTTTAGGAGTATATTATAGGCACCAGCATAGTCCTCTTGTTCCATCCATGTATTCAGCCTCATTAATTTCACAGGGTTTCTTAGGTAAGTAATGCCCACAGGTGGTTTTGCCAGTTCCTTCATTTACAACACCATCCAAGTACTAGCCAGGGCCAACCCTGCTTAGCACCCAAGATTAGATGGGATCTGGTGCCTTTGTTTAGGGGCTGCCTATGGGGTGTTTGAGTTGTAAGTTTTTCAGGCTGTATGGCCATATTCTAGAAGCATTCTCGCCTGCATCTATGGCAGGCATCCTCAGGTTGTGAGGTCACAACCTCTGTGTGGGGTGTTTTTTTCTATTTGTGGTTATATCCACATGGAGACAAGTATGAATTTTGTAAGGCATACGCACAACTTTCTATTGGAACTTAACCATACCCTGAACAAGTTTGTAGTCCTCATCAAGGACTAAGAGCCCTTCCACACAGCCCTATATCCCAGAATGTCAAGGCAGAACATCCCACAATATCTGCTTTGAACTGGATTATCTGAATCCTCACTGCCATATATTCCAGTTCAAAGCAGAAAATGTGAGATTTTATTCAGCTGTGTGGAAGGGGTCTTAGACTGGCAGAAGAGTTAGTTGGCAGGGAAAAGTTAGTTGGGCAAGTCACACTCTCTCAGCCTCAGAGGAAAGGAATGGCAAACCTTTGTTGAACCAATCTTGTCAAGAAAACCCCACGGCAGGATCACCATAAATCAGAACAACAACAAAGATTGCAGTTCTACAGTCATGAAGGCAACCTATGGACTCCTGAGATGTAGTTTGGTGACACACTAGAGCTCTCTAGCAGAGAAATCTCAATATCCCTCTGTAAACTAAGCCCCAGACAGACATTATAGTTAAAGTGGATTTATCACACCATAGTGTGAACAGGCCTGCCCATACATGTTAGTCTTGGGAGAACAAAGTCTCATGAAGTGCAAAAGAATCCATTTCCAAATTCCAGGCAATTAGATGTAGGATTCCCGTCTTCTCCTATGTGACAATACAGTAATTCTTGGCATCCCCTCATTCTACCTAAGGAATTCCTAGTACTTTGTTAACTCTTACAAAGGTGTGAAGGGACTGAGAGACTAAAAACAAAATCTTAAAGTTGGGATTTAGGCTTTTTAAAACTACTGCAGCCACATTGTTTTCATAGATTATTTATAATGAGTTGAATGTGCAGGTTGAGCATTCATTATCTGGAATTTTGAAATGCAAAATCATTCAGTAGATTCCTGAAAAACAACATCTTTGTTTCATAAAATTATTAAAAAATATTTTGCATAAATTTATATTCAGGATATGTATATAAAATATGGAGAAATTAATTAATTTCATATTTTGGCTTGTATCCCATCTCCTGGATAACTTGTTCTGTATGTATATGCAAAATCAGTTATTTTAAAAAAACTAAAATACTTCTGGTTCTTAGCATTTCAGATAAGTGTTATTTAACCAGTGTTTAAATGTACTAAATTAATGCCAGAAGAATATTTTTTAAAACCCAAATAAGTACGTAATAGTACATTAGGGAAAATAGTTTAAAGTAGACATCTTTTTGAAATTTTATTTTTTCAGTGTTCTACAGTGTTTCCCATTTTAATAGATAATATTCCAACATGTCTTCACCTGCAGCCAGTGATGCCATTAGGCAGTTTTGGCTCTGAGTGGGTGGAGATCTGTTGAGAAAAAAACATGTGTTATGGGACACCGTGGAGACACTGTCAGCACCTTTCTGAGTGAGATTAGTTTTCTGGTTATTGCATTCTGTCTGATCTATTCTGCTCTGTTCTAGCAGTGGCCAAGAGACTATCCTAACCCTGGCAAGCCTATAAACACAAACCTACCATCAGTGAAAACTGTGGCAGGAACAGATAAGGAACTTCGGAGTGTGGTCAAGGTGAGAGGAATTACTAATAAGGAAGCACAATCTACAGCCCCTTCTACACTATCATATAATCCAGATTATCAAAGCATATAATCCATGTTATTTGTTTTGAACTGGATTATATGAGTCTACACTGCCATATAATCCAGTTCAAAGCAGATAATCTGGATTTTGTCTGACTGTGTAGATGGGCCATCAGAATATAGTAGAAATTATTTTATTACTTCCAGTTGATAACTTCTAATAAATTAGTGATATGCAACATGAAAAGGAAAAAACATAATAACAAGGAAATGATTGATAAAAAAAAAGGAAATGATTGATTACCCTCTTGTAGCTGCAGAAACATCTGAGCAATGAATCGACCATTTTAAAAGACTTCTTCTACCGCACCATCAAGAATAAGAAACAATAAAATGTATGGGACATCCCAACAGAACAGTGCATTTTTTTTGCTGAATGGAATTTCTAAATAATTATTACAGGAGGATTTTGGCTTTGGCAAGGGATATGGGTGAATAATAAGGTATTATATTAAGTTTTGTGTGGAATTCTTGTTTCTACTCCACTTCTGCCTTTTTACAGTTCTGTTGTAAAACAGTTCTGTTCGAGCAAAGCAAGAATAAAAATAGCTTAGTACAAATAGTGTATAGTACTGCAGCTTATGTTTTTCTTCAAATGACTATTCAGAATAAATTATTAATCTTGGCTTTGTGTTGATGCTCACTGAATCTTTTCTTTATGTGTCTTCTTTGTTGGATTTGCCCAGAAATGAAATAGCTGGTACTGCTTAACTGCAATTTAAAAATGGAGCAGGAATACAGAAAACAAACCTATTAGTGGCTCTATGACAGATAGGTAATTTATACATAAAATATAATCACCATGTATGCATTGTATGAAGAAAAGCATTTGACAGAAAATAGCTATGGAAACCTAGGAGTTGTGATTTGGTGAGGCACAGGCAGTCTTTGGATGAGAAGGCTCAAGACCTTGTAGAACTACAACTCTCATTATTCCATTGCATTGAGCCATGGCAGTAAAAGTAGTGTCAAACTGAGATTGAGCGTGGTCAAATTATTAATAAAGTATAGTTGCAGCCATGGCAGAAAGAGTCACGGAGAACGGAAGCTCAGAGCCTCACCGGGATCCAGTATGCAAACAATCTGAGAAGCGGAGGAACCAAGCAGCTCCAATTGCCCTGTATGCTTTCCCCCCCTTTATTACAAACTAACCCTTCAATAAACGTACAATATGGTGTATTATTCTCTTATTTGAATCTTTGTATCTCTTTTTGCCTCCTATGTTCTATTTTCCCCTTTGTCCCTTGAAGCAGGCCCCGGTAACCACTTGGCCCCCATAGCCCCCCTCAAAGCAGGGCTCCCATCCTTCTTTCCCTCTTCACCCCAGCTATCCCCTTTGCCAACCCTCGTCCCCATGGGTACCTCGGTTCCCGGTGACATGAGCTCCCAGTATCCCCGGACCCCTTTGCTGTGTATGCTTATAATATTTTATGTTTTATAAAACTTTGAAGATAAAGCCACCACATTGAGGCTTAGGTAACCTTTTGCCTGACCTGGAAGTCCCCTCCAGCGCTTTCTCGTCATCACAACAATAGGATTCAAGCACCCATCATCACTGGAATCAATCCATCTACATTGATTCCCGACTGTACAGAGGACATCTGGATCCATAAAATGTGGGGTTTTTTTGTGCAGTCACCTAGACACAAAGAGAACGTTCATCACCCAGCACTCCTCCAGGACACCAGGAGGTCCTGCCTCGGTCATCCACAATGCCATCTACCCTTTCCCAGGAACTAACTGCATAATCCACTCATCTTGGACAATATCTGGTCTGGAATTCAATGGACACTAGCACTGGAGGCATTAGACTAATTCGCTGAGGACTCATGACACAATTATCTTGACAATAGGACCCATGGGACATGGTAATCCTCTCAAGACACTATGCATTGTTTTGTCCTACTGGCCATCCTGCCCTGTCAGTCATCGGAGAGTCAGAATCTGCATTGGAAGTGGGAAACACTCTTTGATTCGCCGGTCGGCACCACAGTCCCGCCTCGCAGAGGGAATCCTCCCAACTGGCTGTGACGTCAAGGCCGGTTCTGCCAATCAGTGTGAAGCGGGAAAAACAAAAGACTGAACAGTATGAAAATGTATGTTTTGCTTGTACCAAACATGTTGGCTTCCTTTTGCGATTCACAGCGACCTGTCACCCTTTCCAGCTGGATTGAATAAAATACCCCAGTGACTTTCTTCTTCACAGGAATGGCCAGTCTCCAACTGTGGATCCTTCCACACAGCCCTATATCCCAGAATATCAAGGCAGAAAATCCCACATTGGGTTGTTGTAGGTTTTTTCGGGCTATATGGCCATGTTCTAGAGGCATTCTCTCCTGACGTTTCGCCTGCATCTATGGCAAGCATCCTCAGAGGTAGTGAGGTCTGTTGGAGCTAGGAAAAAGGGTTTATATATCTGTGGAATGACCAGGGTGGGACAAAGGACTCTTGTCTGCTGGAGGTAGGTGTGAATGTTTCAACTGACCACCTTGATCAGCATTTGATGGCCTGGCTGTTGTTTGGTGTGGCTTGTTAGTGCCTGGAGTAATCTTTTGTTGAGAGGTGATTAAGCCGTCAACAATAAATCCTACATTATCTGAGTACGGACTCACATAACCCAGTTCAAAGCAGATATTGAGGGATTTTCTGCCTTGATATTCTGGGATATAGAGCTGTGTGAAAGGGCCCTGGGATATCTGAGTCCATACTCAGATAATGTGGGATTTTTTGATTTGACATTCTGGGATATAGGTCTGTGTGGATAGTCCCTTGGTCCACACTCGGATAATGTGGGATTTCCTGCCCTATTTATTTGTCGTATCAGGGCAACCAGTCAATTATATTACATTTCTAACAGAACAAAGCAAACAAACAAACAAACAGACAAAATGCAAAATTTGTGTGTTTGGTAGTTAATTAAATGTCCTTTGGACAGTATCTGGCCACTTGGAGTGCTTCTGGTGTTGCTGCAAGAAGGTCCTCCATTGTGCATGCGACCAGCATTTCCCGCCCTGACATTCTGGGATAGAGGTCTGTGTGGAAAGGCCCTTAGTCCACACTCAGATAATGTGGGCTTTTCTGCCTTGATATCCTGGGATATAGGGCTGTGTGTGAGGGCTCTACGTAGGCCCAGCTGCCGCTCACTACGAGGCCTGCTCCGCCTTCTCTTTCCCTCCCTCAGGTAGCCGCAGGCCTTCCACTGAGCGGGCGGGGGAGAGAACCCAAAGGCCGGCGAGTAGGGAATGTCTTTCCTCGTGAGGGACGGCCGCGCTCCGCCAATGGGCGGGAGGTTTGCTGCGGGGTGCCCGCGCGGCCCCGCGGAGCCTATAAAAAGGGGCCGGCCAGGCGCGTGCGTTTCCTGCTCCTCCTCCTCGTCCTCCCCTCCCCCCCCTTGCGGGTAAGCGCTGGAGTGCCGCGGCCGTTGTGTGAGCGCGTGCGTGTGGCAGGAGGGGGCGGGGCGTGTGCTGCTGCTGTTGCTGGTGACGCCATCGGCGGCAGAGAAGGCTTGACAGGCCGCGCGGGGCTCCGTCTCTCTATTTTCCCCCTTTGGAAGCGGATTCCGGCGAGGCGAAGGGGGCCGTGACTGAAGGTGAGTCCGGGGAGGGGGCCCGGAAGGGGGGTGGGGGCAGGAAGTGCCCTCCCTCGGCGCCTTTCTTCCCCTCCCTCCCTCGTAGGCCGCGCTGCGTGAGGGAGGGGGAGGAGGAGGAGGAAGAGAGAAGGGAGGGGGCAACTTCCGCTGTTGTTCCTCGCGCAGGTCGTCGTCTTTTCCTCTCTGAGCGAGCGAGCGAGCGAGTGAGCGAGACAACATGGCCGAGGTGGAGAGCCAGTTCGGGGCCACGCAGAACGGGCACGAGGCGGCGGCGGGGGCGGAAGGCTCCGCCGGAGGAGGCGGCGGCGGCGGCGGAGAGGAGCAGAAGCAGCCGGCGGCCCAGCAGCAGCAGCCTGACCCGCAGCCCCTGGGAGAGGAGGACGAGGACGCGGAGGAGGACGAGGACGACGAGGAAGTGGTGGCGGCGGCAGTGGTGTCCGACGCCGGCGAAGGCGAGGGCGAGGAGGCCGCCAAATCCGCCGCCCCGGCCGAGGCCGCCGGGAGCCAGAACGGGGCCGAAGGCGACCAGATCAATGCCAGCAAGAACGAGGAGGATGCCGGGTGAGCAGCAGGGCGGGCGCAGAGCGGGAGGAGGAGAAGGGAGGCCCGCAAGGCCGCTGCCTCGGCGCCGGGCCTCCCTCCCTGGTTGCAGGGCGGACCATAAGCCGAGCCTGGGCGAGTGTGGCGGCGGAGAGAGGCAGCAGGGGAGGCCCCGTCTTTGTTCTCCTCGGCGGCCTTTTGTTGGCGCCATGTGGCGGAGGGGGAGGGGCGGAGAGGCGCCTGTTTCCTGGAATGGCAGCCCCAGGGATCCCTCCCTCCCGCCTTTCCCTGCCTGGCTCAAGGAGGACGCAGGAGGACACCCCCCCCCCCCAATGCGCTTGGGCCTCCCCAGGGCACTCCTCCCACGTGGCTGCTTCCTCCTTCTTGCACTTTGACGGGGCCAGCCATTAGTTCAAAGGGGCTGGACGCGGGAAACTCGGGTTCCCTTCCCAAAAATTACCAGTTGCACCCTGTATATCAAGCTAAATGGACTTGCGTTTATACTCCCATCTACCCAGATCATTTAGTGAAGTTTTTAGCCAGAATGAAAGAAAGGGGTTTTGTTGTGCCCATAATCATTACATAGGACATCCTTCATCCAGTTTGAGGCCCAGATAAAAATACTACTACTACTACTAATAAACTTTATATATATCCCGCTACCATTTCCCGAAAGGGAGTGCAGTATATAACAAAACAATATAACATAAAAATTATCAAACACATAAAATAACACAATTTAAGATGCAGAACCATCTGTAATTAAAACTAGTGAGATAGTGAGTACTGAATAACATTAAAGGCTTTCTTTCACTGGATGCCGCACTAAATGGTCAGTTTACATGGGGCCTATGACTTGACACTGGAGAGATTGCTGTAAAACTTTAAGCCACATCGAAGTTTATTGAAGGATTCCCCTCAGCACAATGTTAAGACAATGCATTTTTTTAACCCAAAAGGTTTATGGCATTTAATAGGCTTCAAACTTTGTGTGTGTGTGTATGCATGTGTGTGTCACAAGTTTTTCAATGTTTAATATCTGTTTTTTCTTTTTAATTTACAACATCGTATCAGATACAGTATGGTATATATAGGTAATACATCTATATTACCATATATACTCAAGTATAAGCTGACCCAAATATAAGCAAAGGCACCCAGTTTTACCACAGAAAACTGGGAAAACAAACTGACACAAGTACAAGCTGAGGGTGGGAAATGCAGCAGTATATAAACTACCATATACACAATGTGTATGTGTGTGTATATATGTCTGTGTGTATATGTGTATTGCAGTTTCTCAAGTCGCTCCTAACACAGGGAAAACCGTATATACTTGAGTATAAGTCACTGTAAATATAAGCCGAGGGAGCCTTTTTCCACCTAAAAATGTGCTGAAAAACTTGGCTTATACTCGAGTATATACATGGTATGTGTGAAAAACCAAATCTCGTAAGTGGTATCCAACTATTTAGCATCATACAAGTATGACTTTAGGCCCGCCCTCTCAATCTTCATTTTCTTGTAATAATGCTTGAGTCATTGCATTTACGTGTCCTATAGAGAAAATGAAACTGATTTCCACATATTGAAGGCTGGGTTACGATTACTCTTTCTACTGGCAAAAATGTTAAGCTTACTATTGTTTTTACAGATATTTGTACTATGATTTAAATCTGTGCCAGACTTTCATTATGCTGGTGGGATTTTTTTAAAAGACCAAGCAGCAATCCATTCCCACCCCTCACCCTTAAAAACAAGCCCAAAGAGCAAAACCAAGGAAGGGGAAATGAGAGGAAACCAGTGAATATCTTGACTATATCTTAATGTGATAACATATATAATAGTGACCTGGACAGCTTTGTTGAGTATTTTTTGAGGGAGGGATCCTACTTCACGCAACTGGAGTTATTTTTGGCTAATTTTGAGCTGTTTGGGACAATTTTGGAGGGTGTTTTCAGGTGTTTTTATTTCAGAATTTTCAAACATACCAAGAAGGATATTAAATAGAAAATACTCATTTTCAGATACGTTGTTGAATCATTGCAGTTACCGTGCTTATATGGCCTCTTATGTTATTGTTGTACTAAAGTTATATTTTAAATTATTAATTAACAGGAAGATGTTTGTTGGTGGCCTCAGTTGGGATACAAGCAAAAAAGATTTGAAAGATTACTTCACAAAATTTGGTGAAGTGACTGACTGTACAATAAAGATGGATCCTAATACAGGCAGATCAAGAGGTTTTGGATTCATTCTCTTCAAGGAAGCAGCAAGTGTTGACAAAGTGAGTTTGTAGTGTTGTTAAGACCTTAATAATTTAGTATTTTCATAATTTTCTTGACCTTTTCATCCTGATTTATTATTTGTTTTTAGGTTTTGGAGCAGAAAGAACATAAGTTAGATGGACGTGTAATTGATCCTAAAAAGGCAATGGCAATGAAAAAGGATCCTGTGAAAAAAATATTTGTTGGTGGACTTAACCCAGAAGCAGCCGAAGAAAAGATAAGGGAATATTTTGGAGAATTTGGAGAGGTGTGTATTCTAGGAACAAACTGGAAATCAAAAGTACAAAAACTGAGATTAAATGTACTTTTATTAGAAAAATGGAGTATGCTCTGACTATAGTTGGCTGCTGTATAAGGTAGAGTACATTGAGACATATGTGTTCAATACACTCGGAGGTAGAAATATGGAAGTTTGTACAACTGATGCACACATTCTGTCTAGATTTCTGATTGTTTTAGTTGGTGCTGCCTAACCTCATATGTTATTGCCTTGTAAGATTTAAAAGTCTCCAAACTAAATTTTCTGTAAATGGCTTCTCAACAAGCTCTATTACTTCATAGTGGGAGAACCTACTGTATATATACCCCTGTACGGGTCAACTTCATGTACAAGTTGAAGGGAGGTTTGTAGTTCAAAATTATAGATTTCACTGTGATAAGTCAAGGGTAAAACTTGGAACACAAGCAGGAGTGTAACAGGATGGGTATTGTGTTGTCAAAGGCTTTCATGGCCGAAATCAATGGGTTGCTGTGAGTTTTCTGGGTTGTATGGCCATGTTCCAGAAGCATTCTCTCCTGGTGCTTCACCCACATCTGTGGCAGGCATCCTCAGAGGTTGTGAGGTCTGTTGGAAACTAGACAAGTGAGGTTTATATATCTGGAATGTCCGGGTGGGAGAAAGAACTCTTGTCTGCTTGAAGCAAGTTTGAATTTTGCAGTTGGCCATCTTGATTAGCATTGAATGGCTTTGCAGCTTCAAAGCTTGGCTGCTTCCTGCTTTGGCGAATCCTTTGTTGGGAAGTGTTGGGATGGTTATTGTTAATGAGACCTGGCCAACGATGCAGCTTGTGTGCCCATTTGGGGTAAACGGTACCTGTGAGAAACAAAAGCAACTTTCTTTCCTCCCATATATTTTCAGCCAGAATGACATTCAGCAATGTGAGGGAACCCGAAGAGTATGGCATGCCTTACAGCTGGGGCTTGCCACCATCTCTATTGCTACATTATAACATTTTTAATAGGGACTTAATGTATTAGCCCAGGGGTCCTCAAACTTTTTAAACAGAGGGCCAGGTCCCAGTCCCTCAAACTGTTGGAAGGCCGGATTATAATTTGAAAAAAGCATGAATGAATTCCTATGCACACTGCACATATCTTATTTGTCGTGCAAAAAAACACTTTAAAAATACAATAATTAAAATTAAGAACATTTTTAACAAATATAAACTTATTAGTATTTCAATGGGAAGTGTGGGCCTGCTTTTGGGTGATGAGGTAAGATTGTTGTTGGCTGTGTGCTTTCAAGTCATTTCAGACTTAGGTTGACCCTGAGCGAGGGCTGGGTAAATGACCTTGGAGGGCCGCATTAGGCTCTCGGGCCTTAGTTTGAGGACCCCTGTATTAGCCTCACTAAGCCGATACAGTAAGTCCCTATCAAATATGGCCACCAGCTTCACAAAGCTCATACAGTTAGCATCTATTAAATATGCCAGGAACACGAATTTTGTATAATAAACTTAAGGCACTATCACTCTTCACTTTAAGGATCTAAAAAGAGCACAGTTGTAATTGTGCTGGCATTGTCATCCTTTTTCAGTTTTAACCCGTCGATAAGTTGACTCAGTGTTTTTGGTTGACTTTTTGGTCTTATGTACTTGTACATATAAATAATATAAGTCAGTTTGTTTCTACACTGTTGTTGCACAAAACAGTGGGCATTGTACATATGAAGCAGATGCTTGAGGTACTCTTAATTTTCTCCCTAAGAGTTGAATCCAGGTTTTGTCAACATGAGAGTACTGTATAATGATTTCTGAGGTTTGTTTTTAATTACTGGCAGTGTAATCGCATGAGTACTTTTAATGATACTTTTATTATATTTCATTAGATTGAAGCAATTGAGCTTCCAATGGATCCAAAGACCAATAAAAGAAGGGGTTTTGTGTTCATCACATTTAAAGAAGAAGACCCAGTGAAGAAAATATTGGAGAAAAAATTCCACAATGTCAGTGGTAGCAAGGTAAGAATTCATGAATTGATGAGCTGGTTAATTTTAGTATTAAATTTTTAGGCGTACTTGACATAGTGGTATAATTTTTATCCTTAGCCTAGATCATGTTTAGTTCCAGTTACATTAGGCCCATAATATTAGTGAAATTTGAATTTATTTACCAAGTTTCCATTGACTAAGAATGCATTTATTTTACACAGTAGAATGAATGCAGTTTGACACCACTTGAGCTGTGTTTATTTATTTATTTCCTATACTTTTACCCCGCCCTTCTCACCCCCGAGGGGGGACTCAGGGCGGTCTCACAAAAGCATCATTGGATGCCGGCATCATAAAAACAATCAGCAATAAATTAAAAATATTAAAAACAGTAATTAAACGGTTAATTAAAACACGCTTGTTAAAATCAGAATCCAGAGTCTAGTCCGGGTCAATTCATTGTCTTAAATCTTCTTTCATTTGCTGTTATTACTGGTTGAACGCTTGGTCCCATAGCCAGGTCTTAAGTTTCCTTCTGAAAAATAGGAGGGAGCTAGACAATCTGATGTCCCTGGGGAGGGAGTTCCACAGATGGGGAACCATGCTATGATTCTATGCTATGGAGTTTTGGGATTTGTAATTTGGTTAAGTACCCACACTTCTTGTCCGGGAAGACTACAGACTTGGTAAAACTGCAAGTCTTAGGATACTCTAGCACTGAGCCATGGTAGGTCAAGTGTCAAACATTTCTACTGTGTAGAGGCACCCTGAGTAATTTCTACTCTAGTTGAGATTTACAAGTGGATCTAGGCTACTTTTCTTTATATGACAATGTGTATGGAACAAATTCCCCATTTATAGCCTTTATTAATTTGTTCAGAGATAAAAGCACCTTTTCCTAGAGTGACAATTGCAGATTTCACAGATAATTTCAATACAGTTTGCATAATTTTATTTCAATTGGGATCATCTAAATAGTTGATATTGGACATTTTAGAAAGATTATACATCAAGTATGTTATGGTGAAACTCATGGTTAGATTAACATGGCTGTTGATGAACTGTTGCCATGACAATGAACACGTTAGGATTCGATTTGTGTGTAGAGGGAACATACTGGTACAGAACAGGAGTTACTTTTCCTCTTTGTGACTCATGGGTAATAAGATTCCCATACTGATTTGTGGCACTGCCTGCAGGTACGTGCAAAGTTGAGTAACAAACAAGGTGTTATTTTTCAAAACACCGAAAACAGATGATTCCTCAATCTTGGTCATATAACCCATACACAGCGTAGAACTAGTGACTAGAAGTATATTCCTCCACTCAAGTTTTCAGTTTATATCCAAAGATTTTAAGTTCAAACCCTCACTTTTCAGACACACACAGAGACCCTGGACCCAATGGCAAGCGAGTAGAATAAATCACTTATGAGAAACAAGAGGCTGGAATTAATTTAATTCTAGTGAACAAATTATTTTTAAAACACACATTGGTGATCCCTTGTTTTCTAAGCTTCTAATACCTTGCTAATGTTGTGGGCAAATTTGCGATTCTAACAAAAATATCTTTACATGCAGCTTTTGTTATTTGCCAAATGTGTGCACTTTAAATGAGGATTAAGCTCTCTAATTGAATCATTGCCGTGGTATTGGAAATGTCTAAAGTTCGTTCTTAATATACAATGTTATCTTTTCAGTGTGAGATAAAGGTAGCACAGCCAAAAGAAGTATATCAGCAGCAACAGTTTGGTTCTGGAGGCGGCCGAGGAAGAGGTGGAAGAAGAGGTACGTATTGCACGCACTATTTTAGAATGGATGCATTCTAAAACATACTTCTATACTAAAATGGGATTTTGTGGATGGTTTTCCTTTCTATAGCTCAAAGTCAAAATTGGAATCAAGGTTATGACAATTACTGGAACCAGGGTTATGGGAGTCAAGGATACGGCTATCAGCAAGGTTATGGTGGCTATGGAGGCTATGATTATTCAGGATATGGGTATTTTGGATATGGACCGGGCAGTGATTACAGTAAGTAAAGAGAACTGTATTGGGTATATGCAAGCATTACTAAATAGCAGTTTAATGCATTTGATCTCTTATTCATAGGTCAAGGTGGTTCAAATTACGGGAAGGCTCCAAGACGTGGTCATCAGAATAACTACAAGCCATATTGATCAAAGGTATTCAGGTATGCAGTGGTGTGCTCTAAGGGAGGAAACTACTGCATAGGTTTTGTACTCAATGCTGTAGATGGACATTACAATTATGTACCAAAATTAACTTTACAATACATTTCTATGGCCTGTTATGTGTATCGGAAGAGCTCTCTGGAAATGTCTTTAATATTTGCAGATAATAGATGTCTAGAAAGTGTGGTGTGTAAATTTCAGCCTTGCTGAAGATTAATGATTTTATTGATAGGTTAAATTGAAACTGATTTTAAGAGTCTGCTTAAAGCTGCAGCAGCTCTGCATCTAGGGATTGCGTCTTAGAGTGAAATATGAACTACGTTATTCCAGTTGTACAGAATGAGATGCATTTTAGGGAACCAGTGTCACTTTCCACCTTTTTATTTTGTATTGGTTTTGTGTCATACATTTCCTTTAATGGAAGTGTTAATTTTACTGTACTTTTTGGTACCTTTTTGGAATCTAATGTATTGTAAGGTATTTTACATGTGTTCTGATTCACCATGACATGGATATTGATGCTATTCTAGCTTTTGAATAAAAAAGCATAATCCAGTATTGTGTGCCGTTATTCCAGCTATGTGTTGCAGATCAGCGGGGAAGTCCTAGAGTTTCAGCAAAAATTGTAGTGGCTGGTGCATAGTATTTAGGGATTACATTTGTTGCATGTTCTAACCTTACAGTTGTTGATTAACCAAAAAGATTGGCTAAACTGTCAAAAGATTCAAAATCTTACAAAGCTAGGGGGGAAACACATGTTGAAGCTTTTAGCCAAAGCATGCATTTCAGTGTTTGGCTTCGGTGCAGAATTTAGAATTTCAGAAATCTAGAGGGAACCTACATGTAAAATTAGACAGAAGGTATTGTAGTGTTTAAGGTTCTATTTACACACAGGAGTCAATGTTAGACATGCTTACTAAATTCATATTTGCTCTTTTTCCGTTTGTATATATACTAGTTGATTGCTCCTAGAAATCTGGGAATATGCTGAGCACTGTACATTAAAATTTCTCTTTATGTAGATTCTCTACGCATAATATCAAATGCCAAGCTTGAGTTCAGTTAAGTAATTTGCCGGTCATAAATTAACACTAACAACCAAACTGACTTTGTGCTGTTATGTATTTTACTGTTGCTTAAAACTGAAACATTTGCTAATAACAGTAAGATAATATTAAAGCTGACTAAAAGGTTGAATTTCAGTAATACTTTTGTTATTGTCTATGGCAGTTACTCATTCTAAAAAAAAATTGTAGTCATAATTTTAAATATTTAAAAAGCAAAGTACCTACCTAGCTAGGAGTTCCAGCTTCAAAAGGAGGGGTATTTTTTAAAATCCTTGTTTACTGTGTATGCTGAGCTGCTGCAAGAATATTAAGAATATGCCATTTTGAATGCAAACAAATAATGCATCTGATGTGGGACTGCTGCATGTGGCAATGGAGTTTGTCCTGTAGCCATAGCTGAGGGAACTGACCTGGACGTGCGCTTGCGTGGTTCTCCATTGGGTGTATGCATTCTTGCCCTCACTATATCGAGTGCTAACTTAGTTCTAAACACCCGATTCAACTTCTGGTTAATACTGATTGTAGTTAAAACTATATGCTAGCCATAGTTAAAGTATGTGTTTGGGGGGGGGGGGGAAGCAATATTTATTTCAGAGGGTAGGTGGCTAACCACGTCATGCCCTACATGCAGGTTTATTTTTATTCTGTACTATTTCAGGCTATGGGCCTAAATTAGAACTATTTCAATTCTAATAGTTCTAGTGGATGTAATTTGGCCCCAGTTACTTGCTTTCTGACCATTTTATAGACTACATGGTATGCCTGTCAAAGCATGGTAGCTGTTGCAATAAACAGGCATTGAAAACAAAAACTGTAGTTTAGTTTTTTTGACAGTTAAATGATTAACTCCCTGCAAAGAACAACAAAAATGACGTCTCAGTTGCTATTCCTGTTGATACTAACTTTTTTTCTCTTTTGGAGACATGGTTTTATCATGTGCAGTGAAATGTCAGGCAGGTTCATTATCATTCATTTTTACAACAGTACTGTTTTTACATCTATACAAACAAACACTCTCAGCCTTTAGAAAAAGAAATGATAATTAAAATGTCTAATATATTTGTGCAATTATGGCAGGAGAATACAGAAGTAAAATCATATATAAAATAAATCCTAAAACTAAATGTGGGTAGTACTAGGATTACACCATATATTCTTCCTGTTATACAAAGGCAAGACAACATTACCTGGCTAGAGAAAATATAAAAAATAAGTTAATTTTTGCAGCTGTGTGGGTTTTTCGTTTTGAAAGGTGGACTTCTTAGTACCCACCACTGTATTAAACTTTGGATGAATTCCATGCCTGCTAGAAGAAGGCATTTGTATCACCTTTAGATTCTCAATCTGTTATACTTAAGGTGTGTGCGTGCATATTGACTTGGCTACATCCTAACTCAAAAGGCAGTAAAACCTGGATAATTTTTTTGGCATGGATATCAGTGGGCTTATTATTTTGATGGATCAATACATTTTAGTCCATTACAACCAATTATTGTCCAATACCACATTGAGATACAAAGTGTCCTGAGCTTTTTGGAACAATCATGGGAAATCTTTCTTCCCAAGCCCTACAAGACAATTCCAAGTAGCCTTTATGAGGCTTAACATTCTTCAAGCACTTCTGGGTATACAGAGGGGAAAGAAAGCTGGTATTTCTACAATTTAAAATTAAAAGGTGGATCTGATCTCCTTTCAGTTGTAGCACAAACTTCATTTTCTTTTGGCAATATCAGAGGTGCTATGCTTTACAATGTAGAATATTCTGCAAGTTGCTGTATATTTCAGATGTTGACATTTAGATGTTGAATAGGTTTTTTTATCTCATTGCTAAATGACTTAGAAGGGAAGAAAACATGCATATAAGACTGAAAGATGCTAAATTCTGTAATAAAGGGGAAAGCAGAAGTTATTTTAGGCTCTGTAACAGCAAAGTAAAAATGTGGCAACTTGTGCTTTCTGGATATGTTTGCTTTCACCACACTCACTGAAGCATTGCATTTGTACACCAGGGTTGCATACTTTAATACCATCTGTATTATAACAAAAATATAATGGATTGAATTGTGACAGAGTATGGCACCATGTTTGTGATCTGTAAGAGATAGAATGAAAAAATTAAATATCCACATTTTAAAATATGTGGATTATTTTTTAAACAGTCTAGTCACATGCTATTGTAGATTGTGTTGTTGCAGAATAATTGGATACATTGCTATTATTTGGGTTAATGAATTAAATGATTTCCTTCATGGAGCATATGACTTTGTTTGTATCATTTTACCTGAAAGTTTATCCTTTGAAGTACTGCAAATGAACTTCTCTAGGTGTTTCCTTTCTCTAAATCTGCAGAACAATGACCAGAGATTAGATTATGAACATTCTTCTACTTATAGGAACAGCAGTGAAAATGTTATTCAAGTTTCTGAAAGTATTCTTTTTGCCCAGTTTTGGTTTATTGCCTTTTTATGGGAGCACATATTTAAAATGGCTAATGCTAAACCAAATCTAGGCATTGCCATTAGACGTTTCTTATGGTGCTTGTGAACAAGAGTCAGGATGACATGCTATTGTCCTTTACTTGTAAGATTCAGTCATTTGTTGTCAGTTACTTGCCACTTGTATTCTGATTAAATTGAATGGGGAAGAGGAAGAAAAAATAATTCTGGATGAATCTACACTGCACAAATAGCATATTCTTTTTTAATTGATTTTTATTGAATTTATACCCTTGTACATAAAATGGGGGTTCAGTAAACTAAAGTATGGGTAAGTTAGGTAGGGATAAAAAGGAAGGGAGAAGGAGGTGATGGGTAGGATATTCTGATACTATTTTAATGGCCTTGGTGGTTTGCTATGGAACCCTGAACGTTGGTTTGGTGAGGTACGTAAACTTACAGTGTGCTCCTCTATATTACAACACAAGGGCTTTGTATGTACCTCACCGTACTCCCAATATCAGGATTCCACATGGCAGAGCCATGGGAGTTAATGGTAAAACTCCTGGAATTGCTCACAGTCAAAGCAGCCATACTGTGAATAAAGTAACTAGGCGGAGAACTCACCTAGCCTACTCTTCTCCCTTAAATGCAACATATCTACAGGAAATAGCGGACAATTACTCTTCCATATCCTGTCCTATCTTTTTCATGGTAGGCAATATATGAGCGAGATTGTACACCATTGGAAGAGCATACATGAAATAGGTCTAAAAGGCCCTTAGTGTAAGTAGGTAAGAATAAATTGATTCAATTCCTTCATTAAATGGGTCTAAAGATCAATGTGCAACCAGCCACCCAACCACTGACCTTCACTGTTACAGCTGCCCTGATCCTGCTTTCTTACCTGATAGTATCTGATCAAGTTTTTCTACAACTAGCTTTGCATCTCTTGCATTGAAACAAAGTGGTGGTTTAAATTTCAGTACATTTCTGCCAGGGCCATCTGTACTCAGCATAATGAATTCTTCCTTCAGTCTAGATTTTAAAAAATATTACAGAAAATGTAATAAAGCAGATAAAAAAAGTAACATGCTATTGTAACTGTAAAAGTATTGGTCAGCTGCTGCCAATAAATTGTCAGTATACAGATTCACATAAAAAGTATACATGGAAACTAGTAATGCCTATTTAGCCACTTGGGACCACATGGCTTTGGCAAGAAAGAAGCTTTTCTTTATGCTCAGAGAATAGGACAGATACAGTTGTGGCAGCCTACATTCAACAGATTGTGATTTTCTGCTTAGCAATATATACGAACTTTCACAGAATCTTTTTAAAAAGTAATAAATTTTATAGTGTGTCTAGTTAAGTCCACCCTAACTATCCTGAAATCTTCAAGAGCCCAAATATAATTGTTGTACACCACCCTTTTAAAATTCTTCCATTAAAGGGTGCCTTTATTTTTTCATTATTTCTGGAATATGAAATACTAGTGGATAGAAGAAAGAATTCAGAATACCTTGTTATGATGAACTCCGCTTCTGTGGTAGCAGGTGATCTTTTCTCTTGATTCTGTACCAAATCTACTCCAATAAATAAGCCAGCACCTCTTTTATAAACAAGAAAGATAAATCAATGAGTCCAATAAAAGCAAATAATTAGAAAATTTAAATTGTGAAGAATAAGCTGGAAGAACAGTGTAGCAAGTAACAGAAAGAAAGGAAGGAACAACAGATTTCCTAGTTCAGTCATTTAATACTAGACTAAAGAGATAATACCTGATATCACCAATGAGAGCGTGTTTTGCTTTTTGCTGATTGAGTAAGTCCATGAGGAAGCTGCCCACTTGGAGAGCATGGGCTTGAAGCCTTTCTTTCTCAATAATATCCAAGACGGTTATTCCTATTGCACAGGACACAGGATTTCCCCCAAACTAAAGGACCATGGAAAAGAACCACAAGAAATGTCGATAAGCTTTTTGTACCTAACTGCATTAGACTCTTTTATCATTTTAATTCTGAATTGAATGGAGTTTTAATAATAATTTTATTTCTTAACCACCCTCCTCATGGCTTGAGGTGAACATTGCTTAAACACAATAATCTAAAACATTCTATAACATACACATATTAAAACATATTTCTATAAACTGCATATTAAAATACACAGCAAAGATTAAACACAAGATGCAAGTCTAAAATTTGTGATTAGGATTGCCGGAAGACATAGGCCTTCAAATCTTTTTAAAATTTAGTTATAATGAGCTAGTTTAAATTTCGATTAGCTCGTTTAGTTATAAACTGGAAAAACATGTGTTATATACATTACAAAGAGGTTTTTGTAACTAACTTACTGTGTTAAAATATTCTACTCCTGTTGATGAAAATGCCTCTGCAATTTCTTTCGTTGTTGCTACACAAGCAACAGGGTGTCCATTACCAATTGGTTTTCCCATCGTAACAATATCAGGAATAAAATCCTCTCCTTGGAGTTGAAATGCCCAAAAATGTTTTCCAACTCTGCCAAAGCCAACTTGAATTTCATCAGCAACAAATACACCACCTGCCTTGTGTATGTGTCTGTCAACACAGTTAAAAGTCAGAGTTATACACAGATGCAAACGAGTCTGAACAATTAATAAAGCCATGGCTGAAATCATCCATTGGGAGATGTACCTTCAGAGATATACTTATGTCTTGTATCTATGGCCCCTTCCACACAGCTGGATAAAATCCCACGTTATCTGCTTTGAACAGGAATATATGGTAGATTCAGATAACCGAGTTCAAAGCAGATATGGGATTTTCTGCCTTGATATTCTGAGTTATAAAGCTGTGTCTCCAAATGCTACCTGCTAAAATATACCCTTTTAACTGTGCTTACCCCTCCCAATGCAGCTTTTTCTGAGTTGTTGAAGAGCAGGTGGGACAATGTAATTAGAAAAGTGAACACAGAATAGCTTCCTCTCCCTCAGCAACCTGGGAATAGCCCATGTTGGGAAGCAGCACTGCTGAAAATGTAACTTTTATGAGACTTTGGTTTGCTGTGATGGTGAAATGATTGTAGAAGTGAATTACCAGCATTGTAATTGTTGAATAAGATGCCAACCCTTATTTCCAAATCATAGGTTTAGTGATTTGCTTTTTAACTTATGCTGGGATATTATCATAGGACAATTACTAACATATGCAAAATTAAAAGCAAGCACATAATAAAACTAAAATGCCACAGTACAAATAATTCCTGCCAGGCAGCAGTAACTCAACAAGATAATATTGCTGAAGAAAATTAAAATATTTATAGTTCCAGTGATTGCAAGTGAGGCTCATATCATTCCCGCATTGACATCAGTGAGCTTTTAAGTTTTAGCTGGATCTTGTGGAAGGTCAAAATCTACTCTAAAAGTCCATAGTATTTTGTGATAAAGCACAAAATAGTTTAAGATGAGTAAAATGCGGTATGAAAGCTAAGTGGAAATACTTACTCTGCAACTTTTTGGAAATATCCAAATGGTGGAATGATTTGTCCAGCAACACTTGGTAAGGATTCCATAAAAAATGCAGCAAACTGAAAAGGTTGATAATGATAGTAAAGGGAGCAATAAATATGTGTGTCAAATATTTGAAACTGTTTCAGCATTTTGGTAAAGGACTCTGGCTGGTGCTTATACAGAAATGCGTTCTGTGCAGCAGCAGGTTGTTTGTCTTGCCTGCTGCTGCACAGAAGAACACCCACCCAGTAACAGGATAGATTCATAAAACCTCACAACCTCTGAGGATGCCTGCCATAGATGCAGGTGAAACGTCAGGAGAGAATGCTTCTGGAACATGGCCATACAGCCCTGAAAACACACAACAACCCAGATACATAAAACGTTTTGGGAGCACACTAAGAATATATGTAAAAAGGGTTTTCAAACCTGGCACATCATTTCAAAAACGTATATGAAACAGTGGATAAACACTACGGCTGGTGTATTATCTGGCATTGAGCCTGTTCCCTCTTTTGGATGTAATCTTAACATAGACTTGGATCTTTGCACTGAAGCTTGAAAGTGATATGATGAGAGAGAAGTGAAGTGTCACTTACACTTGGCTCCATAAAACCTGTGGACTTTAACATTTACTATATACTGTATTGTGCTTTCCCATCATTGAGTTCAGTATGATATAACACACACACACCCCCCTGCTTACACTTCATCCTTACAACAGTCCAATATTGTATGTCAGTGAGAAACTTGATCCAGTGAGTTTTCACACTTCAGTGGATACTAGAAAAATGATCTCCCAAGTTTCCTAGACCAGTACGCTTAGCTACCGTGCTATTGCTTCTATGAACATTTAAGAATTAAATCATCCAAATGCAGCCGATGTGACAAAAAGCTCCCTTCATTTTACCTTTCTGCCTTTTTCATGTGCTTGGTCAATTACTGTTTTCACTTCATTGGCATATGCCAAGGCTGGATCTGTATGGTCCTCTCTATATATTCCTCGGTATATGTCAGGAAGAGGAGCCTGCCAAGAAAAGTACAACTACTATTCTGTCCACCTGGGTTTAGGTGAATTAAGCAATTAATTGAAAAAAGGCTAACACTTTTTATATGCATACCACATGGACCCATTCCTTTTGGCCTCCGAGATTTCTGAATTTATATGGACTTATGTCAATCAAAGATGTCAAATGTCCATGATAAGCACTTAAAACAAAAGACAACGATCAGCAGAATTATAAAGTCAATTCACATTGTCTATGAGTTACCAAGTCTAATATATGTAGAGCATTCAGATTCCAACATACGTTTGCGTTGCAGTAAAGACGTATTACTTTAACCATCATTCCATTATTTAAGGAAGCTTTTATCGCGATGATACCTTCTGCTTCTTTAACATTAGCTGTCTGATTGTAAATGCTGCATCAGCTAAGAATCAATGAATCATAGGATGTTCCAGAAATAGAGTGTTTGTATTGTTCTCTAAAAGGTTGTATGCACTGCTCCTTGAGTAACAATGGCAATATATGCCCACACAATCCACAAAATGGTTTGAAGGAGTGCGGTGTACTGCCAGAAGATACTTTACTGGGGCTGACTGCAGGGAGCACTCCACTCCCTTGTCACAACCACTCCTCTGGCTTCCCATCTGTAAGTTGCTTTGAATCCCAGTATGAGAAAAAAGATGGACAACAGCAATTAACAGATCTGGGTTTGCAACTACACTGTAGAATTAAAGCAATTTAACATCGGCATTGTAGCTTGGTGAAGTACCTGCATCTTTGGCAGGGAAGGCTAAAGCCTTTTAAAACAACATCTCCCAGTATTTCATAGCATAGAACCATGGTAGGTAAAGTGCATTAATTATACAGTGTACATGCATCCTAGGCCTGGTCATTATACACCCTGCTGTCCTCTTGGAAAAAGCATTATGGAACATCTATATAAAATGGCATTAAGAAACCTCCAGGTTCCAGTTCCCCAATTCCATATATAGGATACATCAAAATCATACTGGACATTTTAACATTCCCTTTAGAAATTTATAAACTAAAAATGGATGGGCTTTGCTTCATTGAAAGATATTTTGAAAGTTTACTTACTGTTCAACAACCATGACGTCTTCATGCTTTGTATACTGCCGTGCTAACCTCAGAGCAAGATCGTTGGCTTCTGATCTAAAATGGAAAGTTCTGCAGTTTTCTCACTTCAGTCAAGTGGTCATTGCTCTAGCTTTACTGTTTTTATCTACAGTTTACAGAACTAAGCAACCAGACTTCAGATGTACATTTTACACAAGAGCACACACAACAAGGGAAACACACAGTGAGCATTACAGTTTTGATCCAGCATATCTGTATGCTTAGTGGCGCCCCCGGTGGTGCAGCAGGTTAAACCATTGTGCCGGCAGGACTGAAGGTTCGAATCGGAGGAGAGTGTCGATGAGCTCCTTCTGTCAGCTCCAGCTCTCTATGTGGGGACATGAGAGAAGCCTTTCACAAGGATGGTAAAACATCCGGCCGTCCCCTGGGCAACGCCCTTGCAGATGAACAATTCTATCACATGAGAAGCAACTTGCCGTTTCTCAAGTCGCTTCTGACCCCAAAAAAGGGCTTAGTTTGTTGGGATTTCTAACTAACTGCATGATGAATGAAACTTTTGCTCTGAGCAAAAAGAAAGCAGAATTGTTAATTTTTTTCTTGAAGGTGGTGGATGTGGTTGAGATCCTACTGGTGTGTTTCACTAGTGTAACCATATCAGCTTAGATGGCAGTGGCATGGTTGCAGAAATAAAAAGTACGTAGGTTCAGCAGGAGCAAGCAGAGGTTGTGGAAATTTTCATTTGGTAGGAAAGCTTCCTAGTTCTTCAGTGACCTATTTCTCCACTCCCTGGTTTCCAGCACCGGAATAGTCTGAGAAGCCTGAAAATCACATGACCTGTGGCACAGGGGATTTCCCCCCAAAATTAGCCTTTCTAGAACACTCCGGCTTTGTGGAACTACTCCAGAACCAGATATTGCAGAAATAAGCTGCTTGGGAGCAGACAGTTTTCTCCCTCAGTAGTGGTAATGATGAGCATTACATAAGTGTAATGCCCCAAGAAGAATTTAGCCTCTATCTGCATTCATTTTAGTTAGAAGTACCAATTTTGAAGTACAAGTTAAGTGCTTGATCTAATGAAAGCAAAGTTAGGAGAATCAATGTAATTTGCAATTCTCACTTTCTTTAAAGTATGCTTGTTAATGGGTTGATTTTTGTGTTTACAAGTAAATCTTGCAGAGTTTCATTGGGTACCCACACAAAGCAAGCACAGGACCAGATGCTATTTGAAATGAAAGGATGAAGAGTTGACTGGCTGGCAATGTATTACTGACTTACCCTGAATTCAAAAAATAGAACATACACAGCTTTTCAGGCAATGTCTTAGAAAGTCTTTGCGCATAATCCACCAAATTGTCATGGAGATACCGAGAGTTTGTATTTAGCAACAGATTTTGTTGATGTGCTGCTTTGACCACCTCTGGATGGCAGTGTCCCACTGAAAATGAAGGTAGGATCGTGAACAGAGTATGGTTCCAAGCATACTGAAATGTATCCTACCAAATACTGACACACATTACTGCCCTAAAGCTTATTGTTGCAAGTGATACACATCAGAGAAACACTCCAGTCCTTTCACTAGTTGGGTCCAACACCCCCCCCCCCCCCCCCCCCCCCCCCCCCCCCCCAAACCCAGCCAACGGTGGAATTTGCTTCCTAAATGAACTCTACCCAGACTACCCTTGGCTGGAATTCAAATTCCCCACTGCCAACAAAATCGGAAGAGGGGTTATGCTTTTGTGTACCACCACACTGCATGGCCAATTGGAAATAAACCCCTAAGGGTTATGCAGTGCAGAAGTAAACAAAATTAAAGTACAGAAGTGTGTCCCTTTTCTCCCTACCACAAGCGCATTAACAGTAATTGGTTGAATCTGTTTATTGGTTGAATCTGTATTACGTCAATACAAAATGTATCTTAACAGATTCACTAATACAACCTAACTCTCTCAAATCACTGGACAGCTATAATAATGATGATGATTCCAAAACTGGTGGCAGAGGCCCACCTGACTTTGCATTTCATTTTTTTCTGCTTAAGTAAAATATCCTTCATGCTGGTTCTGGGTTTTTCCTTGGGCTTGACAGTTACCTGTCAGTCATTCTTACTAGGGGAAAAGCCCTTACCACCTTCCCAGTATTGTCCTGCCTCAGCTGCAAAGCAGGACTGGAGTTTAGCACTACGGCTAAATTTGAATTGAATGAGATTCTAAACTAGACTAGGTGAGATTCTTTTGAGGGGCTACTGAGCAGTACTACCAATGCGGAAAGCCATTTCTGTTCTGAAATCCTGAATTGTAAGAAGATAGTTCTTTGGGACTACTGAACAGAACAACCCTAAAAGGGACATCAGTTTCAGTTTTAAGAGTTCTGAATTGTGAAAGCCACTTGGGCCTCTCCCATCTTCTTTTGCAGGCACACTACAGGATTGTCAAATTTGCTTCACGGGACACATCTGCAATAGGTGTCCTGAGTGTTACTTGTCCTGGGTGGTGACTGTGTAGGTACCAATATGAAGGATTGCCTTCCCACACTGCAGGAAAATGGAACATTGGTACTCACTGCAAAAGTTTCTCTTCTGTAGTGGTGGGGAGGGAAGAAATAATCCTTCCCACTCTAGTTGGTGGATGCATTTTGTCTTATGCAGCTGGTAGTATATTTTTGTTTGTCCAGAGCTTTGTCACTCTTGCTGGGAAGATGAGACTGGTCTCCCCCACTCACCTTTCAATAATAGCCCTGCCTGTCTAGTATGAGTAGGCAGGAGTCGGACGAAACGTGAAGGATTCTCCCCACAACTGCAGAAAAGAAAACTTCATGGTGAGCATCATTGTTCCATCCTTCTTTTAAGGGCAAACATATGTCTTCCAGGTTCAAAACTGGTTATGATGGTGCAGGGATACATAGTAAAGAGTGTGTAGACTACCACACATACTTCAGACCCGGTCTGTTTTTCAATTTGGATTGCCCGCAGCAGAAGCATGTTTTTGCATGCAAAATAGGCCATCACTTAACTACAGTATGAAACATATATCCTGGGACTGAATGAACTTATAAGCATTTCAATACTTGCCATGAGCAACGTTGTTGATGCAGTCAAGGTATTCATTTCCATGTTCATCATACATATATTGGTTCTTTGCCTTCACAATCTTCACTGGGTCTTCTGGGAAAAAAAGCCTACAGGAGGATCTAAGGAAGAAGAGTGAAATAGTAAGACGGCCTCCAAACCACTTGCTTATATTTTTGTTTCTTACCTTTTTTTGTTAGCATTTTCATACCTGGAGCTAAAAGCAATGCTGCTTTAAAATGGACCTTTTAATGGCTTCTTAACTAACCAGTCCTCCTCTAAATGAATCCTATGGGAATTCTCTGTGCTGTGAGCCTAAACCTTGTGTCAAATTTAGGTGCACTAAACAGGAAGGACTATTTTACTAGGAAGCTCTAAAAAAAGGCAATGTTGCTAAAGGATCTAACCCTAAATTTGGAAAACCTGCAATAGGTTCACCTTAAGGTCACCATTAGGCAAAACGACTTGAAGGCACACCACAAAAAAGGTGACAAAATAGAACTCCACAAGTATAGACATACCATATAAGAGGCCCTATACCTGATACTTGCCAACCATAGCCATATTTGTGGCAGACAAAAGAACAGGGTTTCAGATCAATTGAGGTGTCCATACCACTAGTATATATTTCTCCTGTAGATTAACCAGGCAGAATTGTTGCTCCTCCCCATGGAGGCCAGGAAAAGAACATTTTCAGCCTGAAGGCTATATTCCTTTGTGGTTAACCTACAGGGGGGAAAAAGCACACAACTGCTGAGGAAAACCAGAAATCTACATGTCTCTCCTTGCCCAGCTCCGCTTCCTTTATCACTTTCCCCAACCCTGCTATAGGTACTCCCACATTGTTGAATATATTAAAAGCTAATAGTTGCATTTCAGATCCAATCCAGGAAGAAAGGGGGAACTAATGCAAAATTGTGCATTGTCCACCTTTTTTGCTGCTTGAAGTTTGCTCCAGATAAATATCATGTTATGCATTTATTTGTTACATTCATGCCATGTCTTTCTTCCATGGGCTCCCGTGCACTGTTCTCTTCAAGCACACAGGCCAAACAAGTTCAACTACACCCCATGGCTCCAGACTGTAATTAAAGGTACCCTTGTGTCAAATCAGTGGTTTCCTCTGCCTGCCATCTGTGCCTATGAAATGGAGAATAAATGTGCTTTGTAGGGTTGCAAGTGGTAAGCCAGTCAAAGCTGCACCTTTGCAGATAAAATGTGGTTCTGGAGTATCTTCAAAATGCATATTAAAGGGGAAATGTGACCCTTATCCAAAACCAGTTGCAAACCTCAACCAAGACCAAAAGGTTCCCCTATCAACAATACTTTCATCTTGTAAAGTTGAAGTTTGTGTGCTCAAATACAAACCAAATTACTTCCAGAGACCTACTGAAAGTTTCTACTGCCTTCCTACAATTAATCAATGGAAACGAGATACTGTTGTCTGCATTCAACAGCTGTGTATTTTCTGATTTATTGTGATCCTATTGTTGATTTGTTTTGCAAAATATGTTCAGAGGGGGATTATCACTGCCTTCCTCTGAGGCTGAGAGTGTGTGAATTATCCTCAATCACCCAGTGGATTTCCATGTCTGAGCAGAGAGTTTAATCTTGGTCTCCCAGAGTTTTTGTTCAGTACTCCAACTACTACTACATGCTAGCATACTACAGTACTCCAGTCCAAATCTACAGATAACCACCTCCAAGTCCAGCACCAAAAGTCTGTATAAGCAGATACCATGGTGGATTGCACCAAAAGTAGCTGACAGTCAATAGAGTTGCGCTCCCCTGTTGCTCTCCTGGCAAAGGTAAGTGATTGTAGCCTGGAAACTGAGCCTGGAAACATCTATTCATACAAAATTAAATACTGCCCTATCCCTAAAGTCATTGCAGAAACCTATATTTTGCCCTACTTGTGAATTCCTCTTTCATAAGGTCAAAAGCCTGATATTTCAAGGGGCTGTGATATTTCAAGTCCGGCTGAAAGTGCTTTCATAGCCTGCTTAGTTTTCACCAGAAGCTTAATCCCTGCTCTCTAACACTGAGTATTAACACCTGGTCCTAAATCCCGTGCTTAATCTTGATTTGAGCAAATCCATTGAATTGTGTGAATTCACCTACATGTTCCAGCTGTGTAATGTTAGCTGAAACATACGCATGTGGCTGAGCTACAGGGATTTCTCAGGAGACTGGGAGTGAATGTCCAAAGGAGTTGCTAACCCAGAACAGAAAGCTACTGTGTTCCGGAAGTACAGAATATGAATTCATCCGTAAGTTTAAATTTCTTTATTTCAAACGATAGTAGAGGACATGTTGGTATGCAGGGGGCATCAGCTAACAAGAGGCAGTCACCATTAAAGGAGCCCTCCAGATGTTGTTAAACTGCAGTTTCTAGCACTCTTGCTGTTAATCACGCTGGGGCTTGCAACAACATCTGGAGCTGCCCCAAAATAACAATTCTAATAAAAGGGAAATTCTCTTTGATGGTTACATTTGCTTGACTTATGTGGGTTTATAACATGCCCCTGCCCCTGACTTTTATAGCATTTCTCAATAGCTGGGAGTATTAACTAGAACTGGCAAGTCAGTCTATACTTAGCTCAATCCTATTGAGTGAATGGCTCTCCTCTAGTTAGAAGTAACAATAGGATTTGGGCAAATGAGAATTTATTCAAGTGTCAGAAGCGAATTGAGAATATTCTGCAAGTTACTTCTGGTGTGAGAGAACTGGCTGTCTGCAAGGACATTGCCCAGGGGCGCTCAGATGTGTTACCATCCTGTGGGAGGCTTCTCTCATGTCCCAATAATAATAATAATAATAATAATAATAATAATAATAATAATAATAATAATAATAATATACCAGGTGACAGTTGCATTGAGGAAAAACAACAGGAAAAACTCAGCCATTATCAGTACAGGTGGTTCCTGTGGTCATTGGCACACTGGGTGCCGTGCCAAAAGACCTCAGCCGGCATTTGGAAACAATAAACATTGACAAAATCACGATCTGTCAACTGCAAAAGGCCACCTTACTTGGAATTGCGCACATCATTTGAAAATACATCATAGTCCTAAACGCTTGGGAAGTGTTTGACTTGTGATTTTGTGATACAAAATCTAGCATATATATCTTGTTTGCTGTGTCATACTGTGTTTCTGTGTCAGTAAAATAATAACTTTATTTTTATACCCCACCTCCATCTTCCTGAAGGGACTTGGGGCGGCTTACACAGAACAGTTAAAAACACAATGTGTATCAACAAAATAATAACAAAAGCAATATAACAAAATAAAAACAACACTAAACAGTGTATATAACGGACGTCTTATCAGCCCCACACGGGAAGCTGGAGCTGATAGATGGAAAATCACCCTGTCTCGTAAATTTGAACTGCCGACCTTCAGGTCAGCAGTTCAGCTGGCACAAAGGTTTAACCCACTGTGCCACCTTGGCTCCCTTATTCAAGATTGGGGTGAGTTTACTTGGCAATCAGGAATGTTCTTAAATTGTCCATGAGATTGTGACAGCTTTTTCTTCTGATGGATGGTTCAGTGTAGAAAAATTTGAGGTTTTGTACAGAGAATTATTAGAAATATTGTGCATAGGGGTATAAGATATATATGAAACAGAAATGGGTTATGCACTTGGACTTGGACCCCATCGCCAAGGGTTTCGGGCAAGGGGTGCTCAACTTACACCACCAAAACTACATCTTGCTGGGACAACACTTGAGAATGGGAAAGGCGAGAAGGCAATGGGATGCAACCACATTTTAAACTTAAGATGCATCTACACCATAGAAATGATGCAGCTTGACACCACCTTAACCGTGCCTGGCTAAATGCCATGGAATCATGGGAGTTGTAATTTTCTATGGTCTGTAGCAGGCACAGGACAAACTTAGGCCCTCCAAGTGTTTTGGACTTGCAACTCCCATCATTCCTAAGTGGCTGAGGGGGAAAAGGAAGAGGCCTGAGGCTGTTAGGAATGATGGGAGTTGCAAGTCCAAAACACTTGGAAGAAGGGCCCATGTATGGGCTATCTTGACCTACTAATTTGCATATGGTTTCTGATTGGCCAGCCTGAACATTCTAACATTCTTAAACAGCTGAGGGGGGAAAGGAAGGTGCATGAGTCTGTCAGGAATTGTGGGTTGAAGTCCAAAACACTTGGAGGACCCAAGTTTGCCCATGCCTGGAGTGTAGCCTTCTCTGACCAAGGAGGCTGGTGCCTTGCCAAACTACAACTCCCAGAAATCTAACCATTGAGCCCTGGCAGTCAGGGGTCTTGAAACTGTACTAGTGTAGAACTGCCCTGAGGCTGAGCACTAGAGAGAACTCTCAATGGCTTTTAAGGACTGCACAAAAAAGGCCCTTTCCTCAGGTGTGGCTGTGCACACCTGTCTTTCTACTGCAGCCATAGAAGGCACCCCCCCCCCCCCCCCGCCAAAAAAAATAAATAAAAAATAAATAAAAATTCTGGTACTGGAAGCTAAGCAGAGCCAGCCTCGGTTAGTCCTTGACTGGCGGAGGAATAGACTGTGAGCTACAGTTCAGAAGAAGGAAGTGGCAACAAGGTAAAGGCGCCCTCCCGACTTTTCCCCCTGCAAGCCCGCCCCCTCCCCCATTGCTCACCCAATGAGCTGCTTCCGCAGGGCCAGGGTCTCTTGGCGGCTGCGCGTCATGCCTGATCGAGGGAGGGAGGGAGGGAGGGAGGGAATGAGGAAGGAAGGAAGGCAGGAAGCCCACAGAGAGGGAGGAGCGGCCGCGGAAGGTCGCCAAGCGGAGGCGGGAAAAGGAAAGGCCTTTGAATGCCCTTTTCCCCCTTTCTTCCGAGGCGGAAGTAAGAGATGGCGCTCAGGAATCCAGCTCTTTGGGTGTTTTTGCCATTAAACAACACAAAAATCCACTGCCAATCGCTTTTGGCACCACTTTCTTGAGTGCACAGCTCCCAACTGCAGCAGCTCGGTGCTTTGGAATCCTGGGAGCTGTAGTTCGACAAGGTCTCGAGCCCCCTGTTGCAAATAGTCGTGGTGCCTCAGCAAAAGTGCAAAACCAGGCACCCTCAAACTGCGGCCCTCCAGCTGTTGGGGCCTTCGACTCCCACAACGCCTGACAATTGAACAAGCTCGTCAGGGCTTCTGGGAGTTGGAGGCCCCAAACAGCTGGAGGGCTGCAGTTTGAGGGTGCCTGTACAAAACCCTCAATCCCATAGCACTGAGCCAGTTCAAGTGGGGGCAAGCCACAATTGAAAAGAGATATTGACAAGCTGGAATGTGTCCAGAGGAAGGCGACTAAAATGATCAAGGGTCTGGAAAACAAGCCCTACGAGGAGCGTCTTAAAGAGCTGGGCATGTTTAGCCTGAAGAAGAGAAGGCTGAGAGGAGACATGATAGCCATGTACAAATATGGGAGAGGAAGTCATAGGGAGGAGGGAGTAGGCTTATGTTCTGCCCTGGAGACTAGGACATGGAACAATGGCTTCAAATTACAAGAAAGGAGATTCCATCTAAACATTAGGACGAACTTGTCTGTGAGAGCTGTTCAGCAGTGGAACTCTCTGCCCCAGAGTGTGGTAGAGGCTCCTCCTTTGGAAGATTTTAAACGGAGGCTGGCTGGCCATTTGTCAGGGGTGCTTTGAATGCAATTTTCCTGCTTCTTGGTGGAATGGGGTTGGACTGGATGGCCCATGAGGTCTCCTCCATCTCTATGATTCTATGATTCATCCTGCAGTGTAGATCAGGCATGGCCAAACTTGGAACACCTGGAGAAAGACCCAAGTTTGCCCATGCCTGGTGTAGATGCACCTTGGGACTTGCCCTCAGGGGATTTTTCTGCCTAAGGACTATAAAGGCCTCAGATGCTGCCTGTTCTTGGAGGCTTAGCAGGGTCAGCCCTGGTTAATACTTGGGCGGGAAACCCCCAGTGAATAGCACCTGCTGTAGGTTATTTTTCGGAGGAAGGAACTGGCCAAGTCCCCTTAGGGCAGTGATTCTCAAGCTTTGGGTGCCCAGGTGTTTTGGCCTACAACTTCCAGAAATCCCAGTTTTCCAGCTGTTAGGATTTCTGGGAGTTGAAGGCTAAAACATCTGGGGACCCATAGGTTGAGAACCACTGCCTTGGGGCCTCATCACACTAGAGCAGTGGTTCTCAACCTGGGGTCTCATTTTGGGCTTATTGGCCAGTATGAAAATAGTGGAATGAAAAGGACCCCAACTATCTTGAAAGGTATAATATTATGACTAAGAATTGGCACCACTTTGGGCAGTGCTCATTGGGAATGTGTGGCCTTCCAGAAATGATTTTTCTCTTGTACTTTCCAATCTCTTGTCAGCCTAGAGTGACCCCATGAATTTCACTGGGTCTTTTTAGCTGAGGAATACTTTTAAGCGCTTTGGCGTTGCCATCTATAGCCTCCAGCAGTATGTGGCCTTCACAGAACTTTAGACTCGTTTGGAACAGAATTGACCTTGAGATCACTCACTGTACACTACTTTCTGCATACATAATTGAAATTCTGAGTAGCACTTCATGCATCTGAGGAAATGGACTATTGTCCACAATAGTATATTCTGTAATAAAATGTATTAATTTTATGGTGCTACAGAATTCCTTCTCATTTTCATATTTTAATGTTTTTTTTTCTTAAACCATTTGAAGACAAGACAGTAAAATTATATGGAAAGTTGGTTTTGCAGGAACCATTCTTATTGTTAATCATGTTATTTAATGCTCATCTGCATGTTTTCAGGAATCCGACATTGCCAAATACAATATATTGTCCAATGTATAATTTAAAAATAATTTATTTAGGATTAAATCTACCTGAATAGAATGGGCGTTAACTATCAAATAAAGAGAGATGCCCATGTGGATCAACTGAGCAATGCAAGGCTGTAATTATATGGAAAGGAGGATTGCGTTCAAAAAAGCAAATTGTTGCAGATTCCTGCTTCTGCTTTAGCAGACTCATCCTACAAATGTTTATCAAGGGCTATTCAGTCTAACTGCTGCAACACGCTCTACATGGGGTGGCCTTTGGAGACTGTTTGGAAGCTTCAATTGGTCCAATGGACAGCAGCCAGATTTCTCATTGGAGTGGCATATAGGGAGCACACAACCCCCCCCCCCCCCATTGCGTCAGCTCCACTGGCTACCAATTCAAAATGCTGGCTTTAGCTTATAAAGCCCTAAACAGCTCCAGCACAACTTACCTGTCAGAACATATCTCTCCTTATGAAGCAGTTAAAGCATTAAGATCTTCTGGGGAGGCCCTGCTCTTGGTCCCACCCCATTTGTAAGCACAACTGGTGGGGATGAGAAACAGGGCCTTCTCGGTGGTGGCCCCACAGCTATGGAATTCCCTCCCCTGTGATATTAGATTGGGCTCCTTCCTGGTTTTCAGGGAAAAAAGTAAAGACATGGCTTTGGAACCAGGCATTTGGGGAGTAGTGCAATATGGAATTGGCATGATGTAGCAGCATGTATGACGACTTCAGGTCTCATGTTTTTAACAGTTCTAATTGTATTTATTTCATTATCTGTTTTATTGCTGAAGTAATTGTGTTTTATTGTGTTGCATATTTGTTTTGTTTATGTGGCATTGAATATTGCCATACTGTGAGCCGCTCTGAGTCCCCTTCGGGGTGAGATTGCCTTGCTTGCCTTGCAGACAATTTCATGGTCCAGAAGGTAGAAGAGGCAACAAGGGGATTGGCTACTCTT